TGGTGTGCAAGCCGACGGTTCTGGTCAGGCTGGACGAGCCGATGGGGAAGCGCAGCCGTGGGATCAGGGCGTTGGGGGCTTGGACGCCGAGTTGGTTGGTTGGGGACGAGGGGGTCGAGTGAGGACATTGAAGCTGCTTACGGGAGGCTCGGGATTCAATTTTAGCTTGAACGATCTAGCTTTACTGCCGGTGCGGCCCAAAGTACCTATTTATCTGAGGGATAAAAAGCGCGGCCTTTGAAATCAATGCTTACACGAATGAAGAGTTTTTATCGTGGCCGAGATCAGCGACTTCCACCTCCCCCATCACTCGGCTGCTTAAACTAGCAATCTCCCAAGAATCCGTTTCGTGAAGTCTTTGACTCTATGCCGACGGCTCCGAGGTTCTAGGCACTCGGCACAGTCGACATTGTCACTCCCAACAGGCAAACCGGTCTGGACAGCTTCGCCCGCCTCTCCCATTTCCGACCGTTCATACGGCTGGGTACTAGAGGCACCGTGACGGCTCAAGAATGTTCGCAACGGATTGACCCCTGATCCTTCGCTCAACGTCATTGAACTCCGCATCTATCACACACAAGGGTGCCGTCTCAAGAATGTTCGCAACGGATTGACCCCTGATCCTTCGCTCAACGTCATTGAACTCCGCATCTATCACACACAAGGGTGCCGTAGCACTCTGATACATCGGCGCCATTCATCCAATGATGGCATCTAATGCAAGAACCCCCTAGTCGTGTTCGGGCGGCGACCAAGTTGTCCTCTAAATTGCGCGGTCTTCTCCGCTTTCTGTTCACGGGAGAAGTCGGAGTTTTGGCGGTCTTGTAAGGTTCAATGTTGGGGGAAAGGATCTTTCGATGGAGCGAAATCAAATTCCCCGGACAAAGTGTCTGCGTGGCAATAGTCTAAGATCAATACTTGTTCAAGCAATTGAGTCTGTACAGGAATGAAGAGGGTAGACATACTAGATACATTGCAAGGACATGAATTACACGACACTATCCTACATGATGTCATATCCGGCGATCTCAGCGCTGAAGGACTTGGAGCAGACTTCATCCCCGGCATACTCTGGGGGTTAGTAGTGGGGGGATAATCCAGACCTGGCTTAGATGATGGTTCGGAGACTCCGCCCTGGCTGCCTACTAGGAGGTCATGGGAGTCCGACCAACTCCATCCATCTTCTGGATAAGATGTTGAACAAGTGACTGGCGAAGCCTGAAGATCCAGAAGTTCCAGAACCGTTTGGCCTTGTAGTGCTCGCAAACAGTGAGGCCATACAGAAATAACGCATGCACAAGTAGATATGTAGATATATGATTGGGCATATCTAGACCGGGGCAGCTAAGACTTTTCTGGGCATCCAATAGCCCAGAAAAGCCCCTCAGCGCTAGAAAAACTCCCATGTCTGAGCGATATGCCTTGGAGTGAAAATAAAGCTATATATAGATATAGGTGGGAGGGAGAATAATGATATGGCTCTGAAAGAGAATAATTCGAATGAAGAGCCCACTACTGGTGCAGTGGCCATACAAATAGTACTCGCCATGTCCACCTGTCTCCCGCATATCGCATATCGCATAATGATATCGCATATCGCATAATGATGGGACGGCTGATCAAACAGCCACCAACGCTATGGCCTCATAATGGACCCACTAACCCACAGTCCCACTGTTGCGAGTAGTGCAGAATCACCAAGATCATCCGAAGTTTCGTCGGCTGAAACATCAAGAAAAAGGGAAAGGCGAGGTCGAAATGAGCCTTCGACATCAAGTGCGTTGTTGCAAGAGAAACATCGACCAAGCATTGAATTTTCGGTGGCGTTGGTGACTCGGGGTACTGGTCTGTAAAAAGCATTCCCGGGAGAAACGATGTCTGAGAGTGAGATCAAAGAGGGAGCCGAAGTTTTTTGAGAAAGTAGCGGTGATGGCTCCCCACTCAGATCCGTGGAGCCGAGTCCTTGAGTGTTGTGTGCTGAGCAGAAGTGGGCGAAAGGTCTTAAATCTTCTTCTAGCTCTCTGGGGCTATCATTTGGGACAATTTCTCACTCGAACACAGCTTTTCTGCTCCAAAGACAGTAAGCGTGGTCGAAGGTATGGCAATTATCTCTCTGGCTGTCTAAGACTTGAGCTCGCCCTGCGATGTGGATCATGTGGTGGGCAAGGTTGCGAAGGAGATTTTTCTGAGCTTCACTGAATGCGTTCCCCGTGATGCAGGGTGACTCCAGCCGCTTTTTTGGCCATCAGTTACAGTGAGGCTGGAGATGAATAGACTGGCTTACCTCATCTGAATGGGACACTGAAGTCGAGTACCCTACAGCAATGGTGGTTCTAAGAAGCACTAAGAACGGTGCCTTCAGAACGTCTGCAGAAGCATTTGCCAGTCTTTGTAGATTCAGAGCACGTTCCAGGCCTTGTAATACCTGGCTGCCTGCGAATGATCGAATATTCCAAAGGTCCGAAGAGCTGTAGTATAAGTAACTGGTGTTCGTCCGCCACTTGCGGAGGATTGACGAGGTCTCAGCTAAGACTCGAAGCCCTTTGCTGAGGTTACCGTCTACAAAGGTCGAAGGCAGAAGTTCCGCCCTGGTGGAGGAAAACATCCAGACGCGACTATATGACCTGGGTTTCGCTCTTCCATTTAGGACCCACTGTGCACAGTCCGAGGCGATGCTTCCAAGATCCCAGTGGACTTCTGGGTCGAATTTATGGTTTGTGTTCCCGATCAGGATGATATCAGAGGTTCGCATGATTTTGTCGTACTGCTCCTGGCTACACGGAAAGACTGTACCGTTAGTGATGTTCAACAGTGAATGGGAAACTCAGGGTACCTCGAGCATAGACGTCAAAGTCTTTTAGGGAGTATGAAACACAGTCCATCCATTGATGTTTAGGCTCTCGACCGTAGCGAGAGAGTTTGTTAGAAGTGCATGAACTGCAAGGCCAAGATCCAGAACACTAGGAAAAATCATTAATGAAGGGCAACCATGAGGGTTGCAAACCCACCGGTATTTTCAGAGCTCTGCATCTCAAGCACACCCCTTTCTTCCGCACGATCGCAACTTTCGCATGAGCCATGATGTCAAACTTTGCACGTTTGCGCTTGGGTTTGGTAAGATTTCCAAGAGGAAGTGTTGAGCATCCGGGAATACCTTGGAGGGAACTGAGTGGATTCTGGTTCGTTTGCGCCTCGCATTGCGCAGGACTAGTGGACGACGTGTGATCGACTGGGAGCTTGTCTGGCTGGAAAACTGTCTCACGGTCGATGCCAGACTCTTCAAGGAGGCGCAAAGCTTCAGGGGAAAAGAACTCAGCAACATCGTCCATGATCAGTGTAGTTGAAGACAAGACGAGATAATGGCCCAGTGTCCATGATCTGCCTTGGTTTGGGACGGGTGTAGGTAGTTTTGTACTGCGCATCTGATGATTAGGGCGAGGCTGAAACCGCCACACCGTGGCCCAAATCCAGTAAAGCGAAGACTGTTACACCGAAGTACTTCTATCAAGACTAGTCTTCTCACATACATTCGGTGAGACATTGTTCACTGCCTAAGGTTCTTCACCGGACACATAATGGTACCCTTTGAGGGTCTCCGCCATTCTATTCCATTCGACTCGGAAACTTCACTTGTATTGTCGAGGGCAAATTACATTTTCATACCCCAAAGTCATACCCCATATTTCACTTTTTTCCGTACCCCAAAAGGGTAGACAATTGTGAGTTACCATCTACAGGGGTATGATATTGTGATTACCATAGTGGCGTAGAATTGCTATCTAAGGGTCTACTTTCAGAATTCAACTAAATCCGAGTAAAGACCCCTCATTAACGTCAGCGCCATTGGGACTCCAGAATCGCGATAATTTTCTTGTGGGGCGCGTTAACGTCGCATAGGAATTGGCCTTCGGGGCGGGATTTCGGGGCGGGATGGGGTAGGTAGCCCTAAAACTCGAGCCAAGCCGGTAGCCAAATAGCCTCTGAGTGACGCTCCCAGCCTAAATATACTCTACCCTACTAGAAAATATCTAGCTACATACACTTGCCATTTATATCTACATGTTAATAGTAATTTACATTTCCATACCCCAGGGGAATGGTATCTTACACATTCACACCCAAAGTTTGGTGAGAGGTATGAATATGAAATGATTGGCTATGAACATTACAAATGGTATTCATGCTGTTTCTGTCATGGGCGGCAAATCATCGATCCTACAGCCTCGCCACAAAGGTGGTGTGGGGCAACATGCTGCCTATACCTGCTTCCCCCTTTTCTCCCTCTCATCGCATCATCCTCAACTTTATTCCCTTCACTGAATTCTCTCGAAAAGTTTCATCGACTGTCGCACGTAACGAAGCTTTTTTAACTCCTGTCATAAACTGCCTATCTGTGATATGGAGATGCAACCATTAGAGACCCGTCTTGCTGGTCGTCAGCCCACTCTGGAATCCCAGCGGTCTGCTCATGACCATTCTCAACCCAACACGCAGGCTCCTCATCGCTTTTTGTATAATCTGGTTCCTGCTAGCCTTCGGCGGAATCCCAGCAACTTTCAAGGGGGTAGCGAGGTCGATGCCGCCCTCGCTGCGGCGGCAAAGCAACATAGAAACGGTACTCGCTTCTTGAATGAGTACGCACATATTAGCCGTCGAAGCAAGCTTCCGCTTCATAATATCTTCGACCTCTTTGTGCGATTACCTCCAGGGACCAGTACAAGTCAGTCCTTGAAACGCTGGTTTCGCCAGGTTGTCTCTGCTAATAAAGTCGTCCAGTAATTGAAAGACGGGACTTCTCAGCAAATGACAAAACACTAGACGACTGGCTGGACTGGGTACACATGGTGTCAAACGTACAATGGGAAAATATGTTCGTGATGTGGTTGGTATTTTCTTATCAAATGCGTCAGTCGTTGTACCCGATTGACTTATGAGTCAGCTCATGTACAGTGGAGAATGCCCCCACCAACGCCGAACCCGCTTACCGGCTACTTACGTTCATGCCTTCGCACATCGAGCGACTCAAAGGAGTACCCCGTAGGGCTTTGGCATACCTTCTTTCTCAAGAGCCAAGCTGGAAAATTTCCGCCGATCTGCTAAGTGGTATTGCAGAAGCAGCCGAGCACCCCTCTTTAGAAGTGGAGGGATCTGTGACACTACCGTCTGAGGGTAAGTCAAGCCAGCTTTCAGACAGCGCTCTTCCCCACAGCCAAAGTGGCTCTGCGGCCTCAAGCCCTCTTCCCCACAGCCAAAGTGGCTCTGCGGCCTCAAGCCCGACTCAGACTACAGATGCCATGGACGGTACTTCGAACCCTCTGCCCACCGAATTCACTTTGTACTGGCAGTCGAAAGCTCCAAGATACAGTGGTGACTTAGATACCTACATCTGGCAGCCTTACCGAAAGCCTCCTCCGTTCACCTTCGTTAAATTGCATATTGTCAACACAGAAACACCGCAAAACTTGAGGATGATACTTCTCTTTAAAGAGACTCGCTCCTTGTGTGATTTCCGGAATCGACACCAAAGTGTTGCCCGACAGCAGGTTGCCACCGAAGCCTGGTCGTCTGTTACTGAATTGGCACGATCGATATTGGCGGTGTGTGAAACGATACTGTCAGACATGGTCGACTTCTTGCAATGTACCTCGAAAGAAATAACTAGACTGGTATGCTCGACATACGAAGAAGATCATGCATCCAGTTTCAAATGTGCTGATGAAGATATAGACATTCGAGGGCCGCGCCTATCCTCGTGTTGAAAAAATACAGTATCTGATACACATGAATGATTGCAGGAAACGAGCGGAGCTCGATATGAGGCAAGACGCTAAGCAACTTGAAGATGTCATCAAGACCATCCAATCACTAGCACCGCCTCCACAAAGCCTGGACAAAGAGATTAAGACGTTGGGCGCTCGGACAGCCGATTTCAATTACATTCTCAAGGAACTTGCGATTCGTGGGACAGCCATTGATAGCCTGCAAAAAGAGGTGAGTGCAGGGAATGTTAGACAGGACACCCCTAGACTATGTTTGTCCGCTGACAATCTGACCGTAGATCGAATCTCAAAATAGCCTACAGTCACGCAACTCTTCTTTACTGACATTTCTTGCCGCCGTATATATACCGCTAGCTTTTGTCACCGTGAGTAAGTTTATGTATTCGCTACAGCTGTCGACTGATTTCAAGCAGTCATTTCTCGGCATGAACATTACCGAGACGTCAGCCCCCCTCATCCCCAGTTCAAGCAGCATTCCATCCAATAATAGTCAAAACAACAGCACTCAGTCAAATAGTACTCAGTCAAATAGCACCCAGTCGAACAGCAGTGCAGACGACTCGACTCCACTTCTATGGGACCTTCGATGGTTTGCGATACTGTCGGTGCCGCTGTTATTCGCGACCATAATCCTTCCACTGATCGCTGGTCCCCTCGTACGATGGCTTCTGCAGACGTACCTCAGATTCAGAAAGTTCTGGCGCTTTGCCCTCCCCGTCACGGTCGCAGTGTACATCGTTTGCTATTACTCATTATCTGAGGTTGAGGGGGGTGAGGTTATCAGTCTCATTCTGTTCAGCATATGCGACGTTTCTGTAATTTTGATTGGGGGTGTTCGAGCGCTCCGTACTAGAGGCACCAAGGGGAAAAGAGTGAGATGGTGGATGTTTGTAACGTTCTCAATCGGATGTCTAGCAGTTGACCTGCATTAGCATGAACCGGGAACCATTCTTGTGGGGTTTTGTTGCTTGGGGGGTATTGTTTCTTTTGTTCCTATACTCATATCGAGAGGAGTGGGTAGCTAGGAGACCCCGTACAAGCTCATCATCGTGAGTTCATCAGGCTACAGACTACTTTGACATATTGGCACAATTTTGCCATGGCGTCGCTCAATCGCGGGTTGGCACAGGGCACATATCTACTCAAGACATCTACATATTCTAGTAGCGACTCAGTCACTTCAAATTCATTATGTCCTTGGTAATTGATAGCAACACTCATGTCTCTGGTCCGTAATCAGTCACCATACGTACGTCCTCGTAGCATAACGGCAGTGTATCAGACTCACAACTTGAAGATCCAGAATCGGGATCTCGATACAGGTACCACAGACACTACAAAATTAGATAAGAAAAATGGCAATCTTCACACCACTTCGCCATGATACGGTACAAAGCAAATCATAGAGGCACCATATCGAACGCTCGATGCTGCGAAGGGCAGATTATCCGCAGTCTTACAGACGGACCACCTATATTATACGGCTGATTAGCAGCGAGCCCAAAGAGCTCTCGGCTTGCGGCACGAAGACACCACACCTCGACAAGATAAGTTGAGCCACAAGCGCCATACGCTTCTTTGGAACAGCCACGGGCGAATATGGCCGTGCGTTACGAGAGAAATGAGACCACTTGACATTCGAGCAGAGATCGACTGCGTACACCACCTTCACTCCGTGGCTGCTGTTCGCTTCGGGCTGAGGCTTTGAATTGTAGGCTTTGATATCGCGACCGGAGCATGCTAGTCGTTGGACTGGGGCACTTTGATGGTTCCAACAAGTATTGGATCTCGGAAAGACGGTACGCTCTCAAATAAGCTAACCTTGAGTAATACTGCACTAATGCGTATCAATGCATTCGCGATCATTTTCGGCGATCTCGCTAAAGGAGAAGATGATGGAGTTGATACACATTCATACATTATAGACAAATTCGGTACTAGGGTGACCTCGACTCGAGGCTCGACCTTCTTGGTTTCTTCCATTCTTCCTAAGACCTGCCTCGAGCAAATGTATCCCAGGGCGCAACAGTTGAAGCGCGACCTGGATCATTCTACAGATCCCCGAACCTCGAATCAGACACGCAGGCCACGTCCAGTCTCTCTGCCTTCTTTCCTTTCTCCCGGATCCGCTAAAAATGACGCCAGTTCTCACAGGCCGCGGGACCCTTGACGAGAACGATGAGCATAACACCAATCACGATCAGAGGACGGAACACAACGCAGGCCTCAGCAAGCACGAAACTGTACCACGGCAGGACCTTATTTTCCAAACCTCGAACGCAGGGAAGCACATTGGTCCAGAACACCTATAACACCAGTCACGACCCACTGGCCAGCATATGCAGCCTAGCCCGAGCGCTGATCGCCGCAAAGGTGTTGTACTTGGACGACGAGTTACTGCAGAAAAAAAATAAAGATGTGAACACCGAACATGACAGTTGTAGCCAATACGTCGAATTCCACGCCATCAGTCATGCTAAGGCTTGCGGGCACCCTAGCCAGTTGCTTCTTACGGGCTAGAATTGTGGCGTATGCCGTGCCGAATGTGACGAAGAAGGCGGAGAATGAGTGGTATGAGGGTAATGGAGAAGGTGCACAGTTCAACAGCAGCACCATTGCCGATGCGGCCGAGGAAGAAGGCTTGTTTGTCGCATTGCTGTTGAGTGAAGAATTGGCAGGTTGTTCGGGTCTATGGGTGGCTTCTCAACGGGTGACTTTGGTTAGGATAAGGCTGAGGTCGAAGTTTCCGGAAGCTTTTGGTTTTCCATTTCGCTTGGTCAGTCTGAGGTAGAAGCAAGGAGAAATGCTCGATGTCGACAAAACCAACTGAAGACAAGACCCACTGTACAGGCTCGATCTTCTCCAGCTTCCTGGAGAGTGTTTACCTAGAGTACACAGAGCTTATTCCAACTGAAAGAGTGAAATGTGGTATATTAAGAGCAACAGTCACTTTCCTGCATTGAAATGGCCATATTTGATTTGTTACTTCGTGCGATCTCGATGACGGATTGCTATGCTTTCCGCCTGCTTCTTGGGATACAGACCGCGAAAAGGCCACGTAGGAAGGTCACGAGCTCGTACTGAAACCAATGTTCCTACAGTAAAAGATGGGCACCTGATATTTGTACAAGAATCACACCCTGCAGAGAATCATGCTACGCCGGGAGAATCGAGTTCAGCCATATGCTGACGCCATCAAGTGTGAGTGAGCCCACCAGTGTGTCTCGGTATTGCTGTTGAAGTCCCGTTACGCGAGGCAGGACAGACCTGGTCTAATTCAAGCGACAGCGGACAGCCCACTCGGCCGATGTGGCGCCCAACGCTTTGCAAGAGCTTGTCTAAAATCCATGATGAACCGTCCAAGAGATAGATCTCTCTGTGTTTCGTCAGAATAGGCAATGTAGCGCTCAATCATCAGCTTAGTTGTGTGGTCTCCGATCTCGAAGTTCCAATAGTCCCCCTCAACGCTTTGAATAATCCCCGCAAGGGCCATTTTGTCGAGCTTCAGCCTTTGACGCATCTCATAAAACGTCGTGGCCCACCGACCGCTGTATAAGCTGATATCCGTCAAGCTAAGGTCTTTGAGTGTACCGGCATGTCGGTCACAGAAGCCAACTAGGATTTCAGAGCCGGTGCTCATCTTGGCGAAAGTTGCAGATGCCAAGTACGACCAATGGAAGTCTGAAACGAGATGTTTGAGATCAGGGGGATCGAGGGCGCGGTCTTTATCGAAGCGAATGGAAAGGGTTTCGAGATTGGGCGCAGACATCGCGAATTGCATATTATCTGCCCTAGCTGAGCTGCTGCCGTGCGGATTGGACGCGGCGTTCGAATCGAACTCCAAGGGGATATGAGAGAAGAAAAGATGTAGATTATGAAGAGATTGAATGCTTCGTTGCATGGCGTCGAGGCGCTCAAGCGAACAACTCAAGAAGATTTGACCCAACGAGCCGCAGATAAGTTTCTTGATCTGTAAACCGGCTTTGTCGGCGGCCGAAAGGAGAAGGCTTAATTGTGATGCGCAGATTTGGTCAGCCATGCGGGGGTCCGATGTCACGTCTTCGCATAGTCCGGCTTCGAAAGCTGCGCGAAAGTGATTGGTGTTGCCTCGCTCGCATGAGATGAAAATCGACGTCAGGTGTGGAAGCCGCTTCATTGCCCTCACCATGGCTTCTTCGTAAGCGGCTGACTCATTCAGGCGATGTTGTTCAGCACGATAGCTTCGATATGTCTGGTATGCTCGTTGTAACTCTCGCTTCGTGTAATGTTGTTGATGACTCAAGACAACAGCCGAGGTTCCTCGATTGTACCTTTTCGGCAAATGACCGCAAGCTGACGCGAAATGCGGATCCTGAACTTCTTCCAGCGGGCTAGCGTGACTCGGTCCAACGAGGCTCTTTTCCCAGAGCTCCCTGTCTTCCTCAGGGTGGCGAAATGACCTTAGGAGGTCGGCTTCGTAGAATAGTGAATTGACATAACGGCTAGCAAGCGGATGCTCAGCTACGGCCAACAATCTGTCGAAGCTGTCGGGCTTGGGTATGAGGTGGATTTGGGAGACGAGGTATTGCAAGCCCACTTCCGCGATAATTCTATCCAAAATGCGTATCGTTGCAATGTCTCTGGGTTCGAGGTAGACACAAATCATATGAAGGAGCTCTGATGGTAGGTGATTGATATTGGGCCTGGTCACGCTGTCTTCGGGTGTCCCGGTTTGGTTTGTCTTTGTTGGGACCATCATGGGCTTCGCCCCTCCAGTACAACTAAGGGTTCCGAGATGCAGTCTGTGTTGACCCTTAAGACGAGATAAGATAGAATTGAGACACTGGTTCTTGCGTCAAGCAATCGTACACAAAAGCACTGGAAGATGGTGAATTTACCTAGATCCTTTGATGCTTTTAGCTCAACAAACGACTTCCTTGACATCCTTTGCAGCTTGAATCCATGATAGCATTGTGGTGAAACCTGCATCTGAAAGTGTGAAAAAATTCACGTATCACGGGGATGTTTACCGGCACTACCGGCAAGCGCCATTGACGCAGCCGCGTCTCTGAGTGAACAGGTGACCATACTAGTACTCCCGAGATCAAACCCTCCTCTTTTGGACATTTTGCCAACAGACACTGCCTCAAGCTATGCATTGTATCCTTATTTTCCTTGAGTGCTGGCACAGTTCGACTACAAACCTCAGCAGGCTGCGATTTGCAATGCTGAAACCCTTAGGTACTTTGCCATCACCGGTCAACCCCCGCTCCTTCATGCCCAGTATTCCCCCCTCTATTTCCTTTTTTCCTCGCCGCCGTCGCGCTCCTCGTCAGTCTGGAATGGTAATCGGTGGACAGTAGAGTATCAACATATCGATGTCTTTTCCAACTGGATGCATCAATGACGGTGGAATTGTTTTCAAGCTCTGTGATTGCGCTCGAAACGATTTTGAAGTATTTAGTACAATATTCACTTCCCATGAGAATATATACCGGTAATGAATCCTTGGCGCTCTCGATCATTCTCGTAGTGCCAAGCGGTTGAAAAAGACTTATTCCCTCCGCTTAATTTCGAGCATTAATCACTCGCCAAGTTTGAATATTCCATTATTTTAGCAACCTCACATCTCATCACACTCTGCTACGACGAACCACACAGGAAGCGACATCACCACTCAAATCGTTCGGAAGCTCACTTGCATACCGGAGAATACTTCAATGCATCACAAATACAGAGTCAAAAGTCTCCGCTGTACTCATTATTCCCCTCACTACGCCTCCCACCAATATCCAATTCAGCAGTTATGGCAAGCTTTTCTCTATTAATTCCCTTCCATACCTCATCGAAACCAGCTTTAGAGAGCCAGCGAATTCAGCTCAAAGAAAGTCGCGCTGAAACGAAACGCAAGCTCTCCAAAGTATCTTTCGAAGAGCAGCCAATTTGTTACAGGAAGCTGAGAATCGAGGATTTACAAATTCAGGTTGAGGAGCAGAGAGTGCATAAGTCCTGGCTAGATCATGAACATATGCAGAGTCAGACGGACGATAATCATTATCGCAAAGAGCACCGAGAGACCAATAAGAGGATCGCGAGCTTCGGAAGCGATCTATGGGCTGAGAATCAAGAGCTGAGAAAGCAGGAAGAGAAAGAAGGTAGAGTTCTGAGACTCGGCCCGGATTCTAAAGGCGCATTTATCTACACACTTCTGGCGCTGTACAAGGATCCAAACGAGTCTCGCAGGAGGTCCAGCCAAGTGCAGAGCCATATGAAGGAGACTGCGATGACAGTCTATGAAGCAAAGAAAGACGCGCCAGTCATGGGGAAAATCTGGTGCTGCATTTCACAGGATTACTTCGACCAGACGAACGTTCGGGCTGCTCAGATTGTGCCTCACGCACTTGGCCCGGAACTGGTTGATTACATCTTTGGAAGCGGTTCTGGATCAAGGCTAGATACGTCGGATAATTGTCTGCTCATACACAATACCGTTGAGCGAGCCTTCGACAATGGTAACTTCGTTCTCACACCAGTTGACGCCAGCGAAACTCCTATCCTACGCTGGAAGATCCAGATCACAAATCTCGCAGCAACGCACACTGATATGGGCCGAGTGTCTTTGAAGGACCTCAACGGCAAGGAGGTCTCATTCAAAAATGATAATCGGCCAGCGTCCAGGTTCCTGTACTACCATTTTGTTGTGACTCTTCTCCGCAACAAAAGGGATCGTCAGCCAGGTTGGGAGAAGTTTTCTGCTGAATTACCGACCGGTAAACCATTCGCTACCATGGGCCGGTATATGCGCGAATCTATGTTGTTGACCTTGGCGAAGAATGCAGGGGATCTGGATCCTGCGGAGGAGTCAAAGCTACTTGGGGGTGAAGGAGGGGAGACATTCGCGGAGGAGGAGAAGCTCACAGGAATTGAGGAAAATGAGGTTGCACGCAGGGTGTTTGAGGCTCACGAGCCTGAAGATGGAGGAGAGGGTGTGCAACCCTCGGATAGTGATGATGATTGAATCAAAAGCCGGTGTGGCATCTGGCCCGGTCCCGTTTGTAAACCAAGCAAGCAAGGAAGCAGTTGGAAACGGTATTTCAGCACGCGCCACAGAAGCAGACATGTTTCAAGTTCCAGCCTACTCAGAACGTAATACATCCAATCATAGCAGTCCTGTAATCATCGACTCCCAGCAGTACAAGTTCTGTAGTAGGTAAATCTAAGGATTGGAAAGCCAAATACCGGGCTGGATCCAAGCGAGGTCAGACGAGATATCACTACATCTCTCCCAAATGTCTATGAATACAACTACAGCATCTGCACTTGATTTTGTACAGCCATCTAGAAGCAGAGTCACCTTCCTCAGTCGCAGGGTCCTGGAACCATGATTAGCGGACCTTCCTTGAGGGTCTGCCATGTACGCGATATCCAGAGCGTCTTCCAATGCTGCATATATGGGGGCAATCCCTCGGATGTGAGGATCTTGTTGCTATCGCCTGGCGCGAGTACTAGCTTCCGAAAGTCTCAGAAGAAGTATAAGAGCTTGGCTGGAGGAGCTTGTCTCATGCTACCCTGCAATGAATTGGTGCTAGATCAATCGAGAGGTTTCTCCTATGAAGCTTCAAATCCGTGCCCATGTCTTGGCGAGCAAGCGGCAAGCATAGGCGCCTTGCATTGAGATACGGCACTTTGACAAGGGAATAAAACTTCAATTCTCCGAGTCTCAAGGAAAAGGAACTAATAATTACATGATCCTTCCTCGATTTAATTCGACATTCGCTCGGCCTTCGTGATAATCTGTTTCCCCCAACTTCTTTCACGTCTTCCCGTTTACTGCACAGCGTAGATCCTCACCCATCAAGCTCCGACATCCTGATACCAGGGGAAAACAGTAGTGAAATGCCAGGTCTTCCGTCAAATTGGCGTTGAACTTGGCTCTCATTCGTTGCTTGATCGCTTCTCTTCACCATAATTGTCAATCGATTCATCAAAATTCAGCTCGATCTCATCCGCGACATCGGCAACCATCTTCGCTCCTTCCCTTTTTCCTCCCTCTTCCACCCTCATTTCCAGGTTTCTAACCCCATCAAGATCCCATCATTCCACCGTCTTTCGCGATGGATGATTTGTTGGATAATTTCGCAGACCAGAGTCTCGAGTCACCGACGGAGGAGGGTTACAAGTATCATTTCATCAATGGCAGCCCCGCGGTCTCGGAGCATGCGAGGCCCGATCGCACTGCGGCCACAGCTTCAGCTGTTTCGGGCAACGATGACCCATTCTTCGACAACGAAGCTTCTGGCATCCCACAAGGCACTACCTCAGGTGTTGAGGACGAAGCAGATTACAATGCTGATGTCGATGATGATGATGAAGACGAGCATAGACGCGATGAAGCTTCCCGTTACGAATCTTACCATCAGGATCCGACCACTGGGGCAAGCTACAATGATAAGTCGCTTCTTGAGAACGACACAGACGATCTCGATCCCTCCTTTCACAACGAAGACTACGATGCCTTCGCGACGCAGCGCACCAACAGCAGAGTGCCCTATCCGAATCTTGAGCCATCTCTTGCTCCAAGCGGTGATGGACGAGATGAGTTGGATGCCTTTGCTCAACACCTACGCCGAATTCATCGCCAAGACATGGAAAGAGATGAGCTTCTCACTGTAAGCCTTCTTCCAGCAGCAAACTTCCTCCCTCGCCTTGAAGCCTGTTAATCCTGCCGAACAGAAACTCCATCAAGAAAATCTGGACTTGAAGAGGACATTGAAAGAGAGTGTTCCGGGCGGTAACCCAAGGGCGGAAGCAGCTGAGCGGAGCTTGTTTGAGATTCGCAAAGCCTTAGTAAGTCTCTCTATTAGAGCAGCATCTGTGAGATTTGCTAACGTCAGTCTTCTTAGGACATCAATCCTTACGTCTGCGTTCTCATTGACGGAAAAGGTTACAAAGTCAGCATATCCACTATTTGTCACAGCCTGAATACACTTACTTACTCGTTGCTACAGATTCACGAAGATCTCCTCCAATCCGGGAAGATAGGAGGGGCCGAGGCTGCAGACCGATTGTGGACCGAAGTCTCGAACTACCTCCAACAGTTTGGGGATGCCAAGTATTGGGAGATTATGGTACACTTCTACATCGACATAGAAGGCATATTGGCTCGCTGCGTCAGTGCCGACATCCCTCTGCTCAATGGCGACGTACGAGGCTTCATGCTTGGATTTACACAAGCACGGCCGCTCTTTACTATTGTAGACGTGGGAAATGACCCAGGGAAGGTAGCGCGGAAGGTAGAAGGTACGTCTGATTCTCCCTGGTTTGTACTATCCGAAAGCAGACACTTACTGTGAAGCAGGAATGTTCCACCTCTTCGTCAACAATGTTCAATGCAAACACTTGATCTTCGGGTGCTGTCACAACAGGGCTTACGCAGTCACACTGGAACCTTATGCCTTCAACCCTATCACCGCCTTCAGTATCACTCTGCTGAAGTCGTACGAAGACGACATATACTTCGGGGGTCTACCCTTCAGCGCAGTGGAATTCCCACACGTATTCCGGTCCACACCCTTCAAAGAAACGGATAGACTAGCCGAGGAACTCGATATCATGCAGGATTTCCCACCACAGTCTGGCTCCGGCGGTATCACGAGACAGGGCGAGAAGACCAGCGCGAATGAAATTACAGGGGAAGACGAAGCCCTCGCCAAATGGCAAGCCGCTTCCAACGCCTCCATTCCTCTACCGACTCGGTTCCCGCGACCGGCGAAGCCTCAATCAACCTGGGGTTCCAACCAGACGGTCCTCTTGAACATCAACGACGAGCGCGTCGACCCTCCCCTTTTAGAAGAAGACTACGACGCGTCAGAGAGCATGAAAGATCGCATGGAAGTCAGGCGGTTCTGTCACTTCTACCATTTGATGGGCAATTGCGTCTCCCTCAATCCGGGCTTTAGACAGGACTGCAAGTTCCGCCACGGACCTAAATTGAACCCCGAGGAGATTGTGGTCCTCAGAAACAACGTGAAGAACCTGCCTTGTGGACGTGGCTCACGATGCCGTCAACCGGACTGCGTCTTCGGACACATCTGCCACGATCAGCCAGGATGTACGAGGGGAGCTCGGTGCCTACTCCATAAATTTCATGAGGTGGACCCAACGGTGGTTAGAGTGTGGTCTGGACCCAGCGCAGTGGATCGCAGAAGATTTTAGAGACTCATAGCGGTGCATTTCACAGAGGAGAAAAAAGGGCATAGGAGGAAGCGTCGTTCCCATGTATCTTATTGACGGCGTGCACCAGTTATTCACAACCCGTTATCCATTCGTTGACCGAGTGTTCCAGTCATCATTGCTCACTCAGGCTTATACCGCATCGTCTCACTAAGCGCCTTCCATGCCTTCCTCGCAGCAGCAACATGCAACGGCAACACACTCTTCACCGGATCCACAACGCCTCTCACCCTCGCCAGAGTACCCAGATTCCTGTACATTCCCAGCACCTCTTTCAGCACCGCCTTGTACGGCTTCTGCCCATGAATAAGATTCACGCCCAGCGGTATCAGTCCATCCTCATCTCTCGGTCCAGCTCTTTTGACCAGATATCCGCTCGCCATAGATGCAGATTGGTAAGTAAGAGTATTTAAGTCATCGAGGGTGCCGTCCATTACGACGCCCCAAGTCTCGTCGGTGACATCAATCAGTCTGGCTTCTGAGTCGTGGTCACCGAAAGCGGCGTTGGCTGGCGGTGTCCCGACTTGCGCGGGATTTCCTGCTGGTGTCGAGCCAAGACCTGAGATGTCCGGCGAAGGGGCATTTGTATGAGGCGTAGCTCCAGGTGTCGCTAAGGGGCCAGAACCCACATCGGAAGAGCTCATCTGGAGGTCTGAGGAGGGGAAAGCCAAGAGGGGTTGCGCATCGACGGTGAGAATTGTGCAGGAGGTCGACGGCCTGCTAGAATCGGCGAGTGCCTGTAACCAGACTATTAAATACGTCAGTTCTGCGACACAGAGGTGGAGAAGGAGGTTTGAGTATCTACCATCAATCTCCATCTTGGCAATTGGGCTATCTTTGCATATGAAGAGTCGCCAGGGGGCATTCGGAGGATGTAGCATCTCAAAAGAAGTCTCCAAGATCTCTTTGAAAGACTCATAGAACGGCTTCCACGGTGTCTCCTCGTTCTTCCCAAGACAGTAGCAGGCACGCCACGAGAGAACCCCCAGATTGTCTGTCCACCATGCTGCTAGCCACTCGTTGGAGGCATCCCAAGTATAAGACACGTGCACACAATTATCTGATTGCAGGAACAGAGCCGAGCTTTCCGAACCCAGCTTGAAGTCGATTGTTTTAGGCACAGCTTTTGCCAGACGGATTGCTGGTGTACCCATGAAGTACGATTCTCGGTTGTGGTCGCTTTCAGATGACCCACAGTTGTTGTATACTTCGAAAGCAAGCTTTCTGTAAACTGCGGGAGATGGTACGACCATACGTTCCTGACTCCATACCAGGTCAAGCGGGACTATTTGCATTACCAAGTTATTGTGCCTTTCGAGCCGCCGTTTCTCTAGCGCCGCACTGTAAGCGCTGGGCACTCGTAACAAGGCGTCACAAAGTCCAGGAAGATATTGCTGATCGTTGAAAGGGTTGATGATGTAGATGACAGTTGTGCCGCTTTGAAGCCCGAGCTCCGGGAGTTTGGCACCAAGCCCCTCGCAAGTGACAGCGATGTTTTGAAGAAAATTGTCCGGTTTCCTCGCGTCCATGGGCACGGTGAGAACACGCTTGCTGTTGTCAGCAAGAGACGCGCCGAGGTCATGTGAGCCCAGGTTACAGCTTTGATAGGTGCCTTTGATCATGTTGAGGAAAGCCATAATCCCTTCTGCAATGTACTTATTTTTTGGACACACGCAAAAGACATCGATGTCTTTGGTCTCATGAGACGGTCCTAAGCTAAGTTCCTCCCAAAATGAGAGTGCGGAGGCCGAGATTTCGATTGACACACCGTTGCGTCGAACGCGGGTGTAAGGACTGTCGAGCTTGAAGATAGATTGTCCCGTGGCGGTGAGTCCTCCGGCCATGTGGGTGGGCTTAAGGCTCCTTTGATTCAATATCACTTGCTCCTTCGAGACACTAGCCGAGTTCTTCTCGCCAAGACTGACGTACTCCTTGAGGCTGCAACGCTTGTTGGCCGGGAAGAATGTTGATAACAAATGTGTCATGGTATTCTGAAGCGATCGGTCTGGTCCACTTTCTCCCACTAGATTTGTTTCTCCAAAACATTCGGTCTGGGATTGAAGGATTCCAGATACTGCTTGGTGTGCGATCAGTTGAGCCACTCCAACGAAGGCCTGCCCTTGACCTGTGAAGGATGGGGTTGAATGTATATGATTTTGAGGGTCAAGATCTACCATATCTTTTGTCTCTTCAAAGGCGTTTGGCTCCGATAAACTTAACATAGGCTCGTCTAATTCATTCTGAGGTGAGCCTGCCAGGCTCTTTGCTAAATGAACTGAAGATGATGGTGTCACAGGGTGGTCGTTGTCATCATTTTGCTCTCGCTTCCTTTTTCGTGATGATTCTGCTTGTAATTCCAAAGAAAGATTCATTACGTCGTGAAAATCAGCGTCTTCCAGGGCTGGACTGTCGTTCTCCTCGTCATCTGCTTCGTTAAATGTTGGCAACAGCTCAATTCCATGGACTGGAGAGTGCGAACTCACCTGTATTCACACTATCCTCCGTTGGCGACTTCTCCGGACAGAAGCTGATTTTGGAAAGATGGTTTTCACGATAGGGGCGATCTCCACGTTTGGGGTGTGTTGGTAGCTCATCCACGTCAAAGGCGAATCGGCCCTTCATATTGTACTTGTCATCAAAATTGAATGTAGATCCTTGAAACGGTACATGTTCAAAAGAGCCTCTTTGGCTTCCATGGGCGTCCTGATGGGTTGTTCCATGCCGAAGATTCAGTTGCTCAAGTGCTCCATAGTCGATATCTCCAATATTGACGGTAGATTCTAGAGCCTGTTCATAGTATTTGTCGGGCCGATTATTATCGGTCATCGGTAACACCCGAACGCTTTCTGTTGAGGGTGAGCTAAGCCCTGAATACTCACATGGGCGCTAGAGGAACAAGCAGTCTGGTAACAGGGTGTCATACCTTGTTCGCCGATTGCATCTTCTTGACCTTCGGAAATATTTCGATCTGACCCGCTGTCACGTGTTACGTACGGCGTCGTTGTCAAACCCTGCTCATGGAATGCCATGGTGTCGTCTGTGGTCTCGTTGGTATCGTCTAGGGTCATTACTTGACCTGTCTCCCGCAAATCCTCGTCCATCATACCCGGCTCATCGAAAAAACTGAAGTCTGCTTCAGTAAGCCCATTAGATGCGAACATGTCAATGTCCATGTCCTCGAAGAGGTCGTCGTTTCCTTGTCCGTCATAGTCTCCACGCCCCCCATCGCTTGGCTGCAGTTCCTTGTCTTCGTCATCGTAGTCACCGGATTGAAGATCGTTAGGATTTGATGAACCTAGAAGTGCTAACGGTAGTCCATCCGGTGGTGTGGGATAAATTCCGCTCACATCTTGTGGAGTGATGCCTTGATCCATCGGGAGTTCGATGGGAGACAAAGCGTCTTCGTCTTCCGTGTCTTCGACATCTTTCGTTTCCTCGGCTCCTTGATTCTCTTCCCGCACCCTGGCTTGCAACAAGTCCATGCGCGCGGCTTTTCCTAGAAACCATGACTCGGCTTCCTCCAAAGGGTCAATCGAGCCATCCATGATACACCTGTTGAATGATTCGCCATCCTCGCCGCTGTGTGGAGTCATCACATCCCCACAGAAGCAAAGATCGGCTGGCCACAGTGACACCGGCGGGCCGACGAAGCCGATTGATTCACGTCCCATCTGCACCTGGATCCACATTACGTCTCGCGCATCCCTTATGCCTTCAAGTCCTAGACGCGATAATATCGAAGCCTTTACCTGCGCAGTTGACTTGCGCTGGACGTCGCTGTTTGGGAGGTCTTCCGTTCCAAGATATTGACACCTGATACCAAAGGGCGAGAGGAGTAGAGGCGCTCCGACAGCCAAGCTTGCGGACTTTCCGTCCTTTGAAATTATTGTAGACATCCTTATATGCCTTGGCAACTGAACTTGGAACACTGAGATCAACAGAATTCCGGATGAAAGCCACTTGACGTCAAAGCATATTTTTGTTGTCGTGGCGACCCATGACTGTAGCTCTGAACAGTCGAAGAGATCATCTTCCAGCGTCCGCATGTCTATACAGGCGTCGGGCCCGACTTGTATCCATCCTTTTCCATTTCCCAAAGAACGCGATAGAGAATAAGATACCGCAGAGATAAACTTTGAGTAGACTTCGAGGATAGAATGCTCCTGACTAGCACCCCATGCTTCCCTTCTCTTATGACCCGGCTCATTGATCGACCGTTGGGTATTTGAACCAGCGTTCGAGCCGAAAGCTTGTGTGTTCAGCTCTCCAATGGCTGCAGCGGCTGACTGGGTGGAGCGCGCTGTTTTGATCGAAGGCAGAGCTGACGCGTTAGAGCTTGAAGCAGCGACCAAGTCTCCTGAATGCACGGATCCGGCGGATGTACCTTCTCAATTGAATCAGCGGACGCTTCTCGTATAGAGACACAGATGATTTACATTCGAGGCCATCGAGACCTAAACTCTGAGCGGTGCCTTCGTCTAGAGCTTGGGACAGGCTGAAGACCCACAAGCCAGCTTTATCCTTGTCGAGAGTAACGTGACGTCCATTCTCGCGCAGTGTGCATGCCGCTAATTGTAGAAGGTGTGCTAAATCATCTTCATCCTCGTTAGATGGACTATTCTGCAAATCTGACCCATCCTTGGGCCTCCTGGTGTAGACGGCCCAATGTATCTCCTTAATGTCCCCCTAAACAAACGTCAGCAGTTGAAAGCAGTGTCAGAGAATTATGGAATACTCACAACCCTGAAGACGTTGGTGGTTATGTCATTAGGGAAGTCCATGCCCCCTTTCATGTGCCAATCGGCGCTGCGACTTGTAGCAATTCATAGAATAGCTGTGTGTTGTAGAAGTGCTTCGCCTTGGACAGATGAGGCACATTCTGAAGACTACGAAAGGTAGGTTTTCTTTGCACAATGCGATTGATTGGTGGGGAGGATGGCGTGCATTCGAGCAATGTTGATCTCCGACTCCAAGAATGGAGGACCCACTCCCACTCCCGCGACCCTGCGCAGATCTTCGGTTCGGAAAAGCCTCGAAAATTAAAGTAGCGCCGGGTGCAGCCGCTGCCATGCATGATGCTGCATTGAAAAGATTCTGAACAATTTTGATATTACTGTACACGTTCTGTGCGCTCTAGGTACGCTTTTGAAGCATCCGCCGCAATGAAAATCAGCAATCACTCTGCTGTTCCAGTTTATACCATCTCAGGCTCTTCCACCGCGAGACCTCTTCCCGAATGGCTGGCCAGAAAACGAAAAAGGAGTCTCAAAAATGATCCCGAGTATGCCAGTCGCATTGAGCTACTCCAGGACTTCGAATTCGACGAATCCAGTCAGTGTGTGAGGGTAAGCGACGACGGACAATGGGTGATGAGCACGGGTATGTCTTCGATAATACTGTATGCTTGCTTTCTATCGTGCTTGTACCACATGTAGAGAACAAGTACTGATAGCCTGCCAGGAACCTATAAGCCGCAGATACATACCCACTACCTACCCCATTTGTCACTGTCTTTCGCTCGCCATACGATATCTCTCAATACCACCTTCCTCCTATTATCCACAGACTACTCCAAATCTCTACACTTGCAGGCAGATCGTTCCCTCGAATTCCACACCCCACTTGGATGCCATCATACCACCAGGCTGCCACGATATGGGAGAGATCTCAAGTATGATAAGCGATCTGCGGAAGCACTGATACCCGCTGTCGGGGTCAATGAAAATGGCAATGGGGAAGTTTTCAGGTTGAATCTGGAAGCGGGAAGGTATATGCGAGGATATGAAGTCGAGGTTGGTGGTGACGACTTCACATCCAGCGGTGGTGGTGCCCTGCAGGGTGGAATTGGCACGGGAAGCGTCAACACTGCTGCAATCGCAGGGGAATCGCATGGGTTGCTGGCTTTCGGAACATCACTGGGTACTGTGGAATTTTGGGACCCTCGCTCAAGAGGTCGTGTTGGCATTTTGCAGAGCCCCAGAGAGGCAAACCCGATCGATGGAAGGCAGGAGATCACAGCGTTGGAGTTCGACCGCTCTGGATTAGGGATGGCCACGGGATCTTCCACAGGATTAATTCATCTTTACGATCTCCGCTCACGTGCTCCGTTACTGAAGAAAGATCAAGGCTACGGGTACCCAATACAAACGCTCATCTACCTTGTATCCTCAACCTCAACCCGGGCACAGACCGCTGAACCCAAGATACTCTCAGCAGACAAAAGGATCATCAAAATCTGGGATATACGAGATGGATCGCCCTGGACATCTGTGGAGCCTGCTGTGGATATCAACTCAGTAGCATGGTGCAAAGATTCTGGAATGATCTTGACTGCGAACGAAGGACGGCAACAACATAGTTTCCTGATACCGCAGCTTGGACCAGCTCCCAAATGGTGCTCGTTCCTTGACAATCTCGTTGAGGAGATGGCGGAGGACCCGAATGATCCTAACGCGTACACCAGCCAGAAGGCTGGTGACGTTTATGACAACTACAAATTCCTGACCATGCAGCAGCTCCAGTCGCTAAATCTCGCCCACTTGGTAGGGACCACCAGTCTACTCCGCCCCTATATGCATGGCTACTTTGTGGCGCAACGGCTTTACGAAGAAGCGAAGCTCATCGCAGATCCATTCGTGTGGGAAGAAGAGCGAAACAAAAGAGTCAAGGACAAGATTGATACGGAGAGGGAGAGCAGGATCAGAGGCAACAAGAAGGTCACAGCCAAGGTCAACAAGAAACTGGCAGAGAAGATAATGGAGCGGGCGGATCGAGAAGAACGAAGGCAAGCGAACAAGGTACTCGAGAAGGGTGGAGACGATGACAAGATTGAGGATGCCACCGCAACGGCTAGTACGGAGGAGAAGCCCTCCGGCAGCTTACTGGCAGATCCCCGTTTCTCTAAGCTGTTCCAAGACGAAGACTTTGCCATCGATGAGCGATCGCGAGAGTTCCAGTCCCTGAACCCAAGCACGAAACCAGCGCCAATTGGGCCTACCAATGACAACGAGCGCAAGCTGACGGCTGTGGAAGAAGACGCGACTGCGGAGATACCTAGATCCGACTCTGACGACTCTAGTGAAGAGGAGGAGGCGCCCAAGACCAAAGACAGTGGACGAATCTCTTCGGTCTCTTACAAGAGATCCGGTCACCGATCTCAACAGCCACAGATGCGAGTCACATCCTCGAAAAAGCCTCAGCAAGGCCGAGACCGCTCTTTTGGATCACGAGCTGAGCGGAGTAAATCCACAAAAACCAACACGAGTACGGTAGTAGGAGAGCGGGAGATCACGTTTGCCCCGGAAAAGAAGATGAAGGCTCAGAAGGTGGAGAATACAGGGACAGACAGAAGACGGGACAAGGGAAGGAGAAGTGCCAGTGGAAATGTGTTTAGAAAAATATGATGTACCATAGCGATAATATGATACCCATTGAATGCAAAATTACAGCTGCAACAATTGTATGCCAAATGCTGGGCAATGGGCCAAAATTTGAGCCGAGGTCCAATTTCGCTTTGTCTCCACCCGTCCGGCCACAAGCTACCGTCATAATGGCATTGCCCATCGATGAACTTCAGCGAAAACACACAACAGATTCTCCTCTGCCCCATAAAAGCACCGATTTGATCCTCCAAGATGGTAGCAGACGCGGTTGTATACCACCCCACGGTAGCACACTACCTGCGCTTTGTCGCGACAACAGGTGGGTCTCGGATTCTTCTACTCAGGAGCGTTGAACCTCAGCCGTCGGCCCAATGCTAACACCCTCCTCTCTACAGTTGGCCGTGATAAGCTCCTCCGTACCCTTCAATACTTTTCCCGCTTCTACGCATGGTATCTCTTCCGCACCAACAACCCTGCCCGGCTCATCGCGCCCTACGAAGCCATCAAAAAGCAATTCGGTCTCACACGGAAAGCGCTACGTCTGGGCAAGAATGTGGAGCATTTCAAAGCCGCGGCCGTGGCGGCCGATAGCAAGAACATGGATCCAGTGCTGAAGTACTGTGCCGTGGGGAGGCAGTTGGGGTACGCGATGTACTTAAGCTTGGATGCTGTTACATATGTGAGTGCCTACCTTGCATCTTTGTGGGAGGGGATAGGATGAAGCAGGAGCTGATGACTGTCGATAGCTTGACGCTGCTGGGATCCGGCCTTTGGCGAGCGCGAAGAGATTACAGCAGGAGGCTTACAGGGCGTGGTTTGCTGGGCTGTCGTTTAATGCCATTGCTGGGCTTTACACTTTGTGGCAGCTACGGCAAAGGGAGCAGAGCATCGATAAGAATGAGGGGGAGGGTGTCGTGGAGAGTAAGAAGATCAAGAAGTCAGCCTCCAACCAGTGCCCTTGAGGATTATGGGTAGACGGCTGACGACGACAACAGGGAGCGCAACACCACAAACCTCCAGCTCATCTCGGATCTTTGCGATCTTACCGTTCCCAGCGCGGCACTTGGCTATGCGAATCTTGATGATGGCATCGTTGGGTTGGCTGGGACAGTGAGCAGCTTGATTGGGGTGTGGAGTACATGGAAGAAGACAGCCTAGAGCAAGATCCTGTATCCGATGCTCAGTGATGAGACATGGGAACGTGGTCTGGCATCATGGAAATGCTTGTACGAGAGTTGGCGTTGTAACGACGCTGGAACGATGGAGTCTTGGAAGCGCTTGATGTCCGCGGTCTCAGCTGTTGGGAAGTATATGCGCTCTTCTCATGTTTCATACATCTGCTCTTGAATACGAACGAAGCTATGAGAGGAGATCTCTACAGGGCTCAGCCGTATTTGCTTCTTAAATATGTGAGGTGAATCTCTTCTTTGCACATATCTGTACCGGCCGCGTGACATGCAACCCCCGGCACCAGCTCATACGAAAGACCCATCTCCTACGTATCTTGGCTTGGCGAGGCTGGGCAAAGCTTGGCGGAGATTCCTAAGCTCCTCAGATGAATGTTGGTCTTGTCTCCTGATATCATCTCCATACTCTCGGTTTGCTGCATTTTCGACAGTCTCAACCATTACGCCTCAGGGTTTGGGAGTACGTCGCAAGCATGGCTGCCTCCCATGACCCTCCACCCCGAACTCTAGAGGCTAACCACGCTTACGACGAGGAATGGAGGCAAGCTACCGATCATGACTGGCCCACACAGCTTATCTCAAGCACTGAACATGGCAAGTACCTCGTCTCAATAGCATCGATCGCTGTATAGCTGACCTTTCAGGCCCTTATATAGGCCCTCAAGGCCATGTCGACAGTAGGCTTCAGGCTGAAACCGATGAAGCTATTCTCGAGGGCATCGTTTCAGGAGGCTCAGGTCAATCTTCTCCACAAGCCTCCCAACAAGCCTCTCAGCAAGCACCGATAAAGGTGCTCACTCGACCAGCCTCCTCAGGTAAAGACCCCGCTGCTGGCTTCTCCTTCACCAAAGCCAAGCCAATTCAACAACTCGACTTCCGAAGACCGAAGCAAACCCCCGTTATCCTCACTGAGACACGCTCCCATCAGTCGCCACCCCTACCAGACACCACTCAAGCTGCTCAAAATGCTGTCAATGTCGAAGCTCACCGAGGCCTCTCATCTAAGCATGATCATACTTCAGTGCTCCAAGATATCTTTTCAGTGCCTTTTCCAAACGCAATGCCCGCTACCACAGCTCTCGCGTCCGGTCATAATCTAGCCGGAACCAACAATATACCAGTGCTCCAGGATCCTTTTCCAGTGCCTTTTCCAAACGCAACACCCACTACAACAGCCCTCGCGTCCGATCACAGTCCCGCCGAAACCGTGAAAGTCGTTCATCAACCACCATTGAACATGCACAACCGTTCAGCCAAGACCTCCAAGGATCCTTTGACCTCAGTGGCTGGTACTCCCAAGGTCACCAAATCCCGCCGGAGAAAGACCACGACAGGCCCAGCTACGGTTGGTCCTCCGCCGCCCAAGAAAACTTATACAGAGGATGATCTTCTAAAACTACTCATGTATCGTCGAAGGCAAGGGCAGCAAGAGCTCGAAGATTTCAGGGCTACACAACACCAGAATTGGGCTGAAATCCAAGAATTACGAGACATGAGCACTAATCTCTCTGGTCAGTTACAGGAGGTCGTACAACGTGAGACTCGGAAGACTGCCGAATTGTCAAGACTCAAGGCCAACAAGCCGATCTGGGAAAGCAAGATTAAGCGGCTGAATGACTATGTCAAAGGCCTCACAAATGATCACAAGCGGCTTCGAGAGGATGCGGATGACTTGCACAAAAAGCATGAGGATGTCTTCTTAGCCAGAAAGGAACTACACGATACACTGGAGGATGCCCAGAAGTCAGCAGAGCATGAGCGCATCAGATCCCAACAACTTGGGGACGAGGCCCGTCATAGAATCGAGAATCTTGCCCAGACTGTACAACATCAAAGTACCCAGCTTCGAGGCGACGAAAGTTTGCTTATGGCCGAACGAGAGAGAAGCAACCGACTGGAAGATCAGATTTCCAGGATCACTGCCAGTCATGGGCGATTATTGGAAATCTTCACCAGCCATCGCGATACTATCACTAGCAAAATCGACGATCTGTTGCACCAGGCCCAGTCTATCGTCCCGCCCAACAAAGATTCAGAGTCAGAGTCCCATGGCCAGGTTGGGCCAATGCTAGAGCAATGCTTCAGAATCTTGCAAAAGCTTCATAATGCGGATACTGTCAAGCCAGAAGACCTCCGAAAGCTCAATGATAATATGGACAGCTTTGTCGAAGGGTACGTGCCTTTCGTCTAGTCGATCATAACCATACTAACACAAAGATAGGATTGCTCGTTCCGTCGAAGCTTGCGAGGAAAGTTCTAACTCGATGGAGGCAGGACAAAAGCAGCTTGCGCTGGCTGTGCAGGATCAACTTCGGGCCTTAAGCGGTAACATCTTTTCTGAACACGCCTTGTCAGAACAAATCAGCGACCTTCGGGAGGTGAGGGCTACTGTTCGAGAACGGTTACAGGCAACCGAGAGCTCACTTGCGGACGCTCGCCGAGAAGTTATAGCTCTTCGACTCAAAGACCAAGAGCAGTCGCGAAGGATTGTGACTTTAGAGACTGTTGCAGCCAGAGGTCACAGCCAACCTACAGAGGCCTCACAAGCTTTACTCCACATCCAGGAGCTTGACTCTCGAAATAGAACTCTTCAGAGCGAAATCGTCAGTTTAAGGAAAGAAGCTGCAGATCTTTCCAGTCAACTTCAGCAAAGTTCCACAGACGCTAGAGAATCGACTGAACGTTTGGCTACTAGCCAAGAACAACTCGAGACTGCGTGCAAAGAAACAACGAAAGTGCGAGAAGAAAAACTAACGAGCGAGAGCCAAGCTATGGCTAAGCGGGAGCAGTTGAGAAAAGAGCTATCAAAGGCAGCGAACATGCAGATTGCAAATATGCAAAGCGAGCACATGAACGCTATCCAGCAGCTGAGATTGGAGAAGTTTCCGGCCGAAGAGAAGTTAAAGAACGTAACCAGACAAGTCAATATGCTGAAAGCGGAGAAAGAGAAATCAGAAAAGGAGACTGCTCAGTTGCAAGTATTGCTGAAAGAGGCACGGAGCGAGAAAGAGGCTGTTATCGGGACAAGGAAGGCTCTCCAGCTTCATCTGAAGGAAATCAACGTGCGAACTTCTGAAAAGAATAACGAATATTCGGGCTTGCAGGCCATGTTGAATAAGGCGAACGATCAAGTAAAGGCCAAGGATCTGGAGATCATGGCACTTCAAGTAACGCAGGCTACGAGGCCTAGCTCATCTAGGATTGTTGGGCAAAGCCCTTCTATTCGAGGTACGCAACCGGTTCACAGAATAGATACTCAGCATCGAGACTCCCAGCACGCCTCGATGGGTCAAAGCTCTTACGTGCGGCCCGCGACTCCCAAATCCTCTATGCACTTCGCGAACCGACCGCCAATAGTAGAGGATTCACAGCCATCTGAAAAGTCAGCCTTCGTAAGCCTTGACGAGTTAATTCTGGATGACCCTTTTGCCGGCTATGCTCGAGAAGGGTCTCAAACCATAGCTGGTGAGGATATATCTCACCTGTTCCCATCTACTCCTGGAGCCGGTTCCCGTGCCAAAGACCACGATTACTCCCGGAACTCGGTATTCCATACAACGGTAGTATCTGAGACGCAGCGAAGACAGCAACGATCGTTCCGCGAAGCTACACCACATACCGGCTCTGGGACCACGGATAAGTCTTACTCGCAGTCGCAGGCGCGCACTCATTCCGAAGCTGGGCATAATTACGCGATGCCCAGATCTTCAACAGCCACCTCTCCTACTCAAGTCACCGCTCATGGTCATGACACCAAAACTCCAAGCTCGCATAGAGAAGTGAGCATCACGCGAGAATCAACCAAGCCACAGGGCAGCGTTAAAGATCCTAGACAAGGAAAACGTAGCATTGTTGCGGCCGGCTTCAACGATACAAATTCGCAGGTTCGGCCAAGTAAGGTGCAAAAAGCTGGACCTAAGCAGGCGAAGGCCCTTGGACCAATCATCGAAGACTCTCAGTCGCCCTTTCTGAATGGTCGCAGCCGAAAGATGACAAGGAGAAAATCAAGCGCTCCGAAAGGTGAGGCCCAATCCAAAGCTTCTGGACTATGCTGAGAAAATTCTGTTTTAGATGATAAGTTTACCCGACGGTTCGCTCAAGCCTAAAGCCACAGACAAACACCGGTGCGAGGCCTACTTTTCACCTAGTCCTTCGATATTGCCCCGGCGAAATTGCATCATCCATATCGTTCATTTGCTAGTTGATGATGGCACCGTTATACTAGCTCATTGCAACTAACACCCCGAGCTTCTATCAGTACATTTCCTGCAGCTATTCTTGAGGAAGCGTGTAATTGCAAATGCTGTACATTAGCTGCATTGATCCTAGACAGATAGCATCTGGCAAGTAGACTAGCTCGAACCCTTGCTTGTCCAACGGACATCAGGTCATTGATCCAACATCGTACCAAGTATGCCATACCGTAGTATCCCCTGCATTGCATCACGGTCCAACGCCATGTCTGATCTCCCTTTACCTGCATTGCGGCCTAGTCCTCCGACAGCACTTCACCATACGGCCTCCCCACGCGCCGGCAGCTCTCCGTTACCCACATTGCCATAGTATATACCAGTCCCTTACTCCTCAACCTTTCATTTCCCACCGCGTTTCTGCTCAAGGAAAAGGACCTGCTTTTTCACTGCGGGACCTGTCAGCCACTGTATCCGTTCGATCTCCCCCCCCCCCCATCCTCGGCCCAGACCCTCCTCAGCATCTATTGTAGGAAGCGAAAATTCAAACGTACCGACAGGATCGTACTTCAGCATCGAAAGCGGCCTGTGCACGCGGGGCCGCCGGAGGGTTCGATAGTAGCCTGTTAAGGCCATGGAGATGAGGCGGACGGCTATGGTGCGGGATTTGGCTGCGGAGGAGCAGGTCGTTAGCTGTTGTCTGTGGGCGTAAGGGGAGGAGTGGGAGAGGGGATGTAGACGGTACCTTTCTTTGCCATGATGGCTGCTGGTGTGAAGGGCAAATGGGCAAAGGTTGGTTTGCTGGTGGTTGGGCTGGTGATTTTATTGTTGGTGCTGAGATGTACGCACTGCAGGCGCAAGGTTGAGAATGACTCGGCTGCGATTGGGAGAGCGCGTTGAGCGCGTCTGGTATCCACAACCTCGACCACTGATTTACATCTATGGTAGTAGACCCATGCATACAGCTGGCACGAGTGTAGTCAAGATCTAGCTTCAGATGAGTTAGACAGGTGAGGATGGCAGGACTTGTCTTCTTCGGGCCAGTCCCCATGGATTGGATCTACTCATAGCTATTCGAGCCGTCAGAGAGACCATTCTGCTGGTATTGATTCAAACAGTAAATGTAGGGCCAAAGGCTTTGCTATAAGCTTTTTGTCGGCATGTGCGTCTGTTGAGCCAGCAAGCAAGCGAAGCCGCCGTCTTTAGAGTATCATCTCTGGTCACATCTGCTGACTTGCTAGAGCATGCAGTTCCTCTTGACATTTTTGATTATATGCCAGCAATGCCTTGACTAGTAAGACATCAAGCCCCGTCTGCATGTCAGTGGTTCCCATTTTGTTTGTGTGACAACTGCGTGAGTTGTTGTCTTAGAGAACCGTCGCCAAGACTTCAGCACCTGATCTGATCCCTTCATTCACACTTGAAAAGCTGTCATCTTCTTTACATCCCTTGTCCTCATCTTCTTTCCATGTTTCCTTAACTCATCTCATCACACTCTCCTCACTCTATCATCCTCGTTCGTCTTGCATAATTGTTGCTTCTTGCATCCTCGTTCTTACATTCCTGTTTGTTTTGCAGCTATTGTCCCTCTAAGAGCTCCCAAGAATTCTCATTGAGAATTCAGCTCGGCAATTCGGCTAGCGGACTAGTCATAGCTCCTGACTCACTTGGACACCAAAGATACCTAAAGTATCTTAAGCAGAACATCACCTCGTCAAAATCACATCACAATCGAACAATCAATTTTACTTCTCCCTCACATATGAGCAACGAGCAAATTAACTGACAGCTCTGGCGTGAATTTAATACCCGCGAGATCTATCCTTGCGTTAATAAGTCAACATACTCCTTGCTCGCTTGTCAACATTAAGGTTACGCAAGCCCTCTTCTGCAACCTCACTTTTTGCCATTCCACCTCCACCCTCACCCTATCTCGCACTACGTTATTGATTGTTACTCGCAGTGAGTCTGTCGTCTGCTCTTGTCATCATTAATGTTAGTGACTAACCACCTTGATAGACGCAGTTGACCACCAAGGATGGATCTGAGAGGCCTCGGAACAGACCGCCATACCTCAAATGGTCAAAATATCTTCCAGTGCGTCATCTCTGCTATCACTGTTTATTACTTTGCTGATGATTGTTATTCCATAGACAGCCTGGACAAGCCGCTGTTGTCGATGATAAGATTACTCGTAAAGAGAACGCCAATCTAAAGGGATATCAGGAAGCTATTCGTGCCCAAATATCCGTGGATGATTCCGATTTGCCTCTTCGACCAGGATATGGAGACAAAGGTGCCCCAATTACAGTCCTAGCCAATTATCTCGTGGTGTCTGTGACCGATGCCCAGCAGTTTTTCACATATGAGGCTAGTACTGATGAACGCCTGCACAACAAACGTCAGCGCTATCAATTCATGGCTACGGCTTTGAAGAATGTCCCAGAGTTGAGTGATCTAGGCCAAGGGATTGCCACCGACTATGCGTCACTTGTTGTTACATCGGCGAAGCTTGCGCTAGGGTCTAGCGAGACCAGAACATTCGCCATAGAGTACTACGATACAGAGTTCCCAAAGGGTCGCGTGTATGCCAAGGACAGACCTTTCAAGCTCACAATATCGCTTGCCGGAAGTATATCCTCGGATGATTTATCGCACTACATGATGTCCGGCCCTGCTGACTCTATCGACTCCGCCGACCCAGGTCCAGTAGACATGAAGCCTGTGCAAACGTTGAATGTTATCATGGCAAGCCACCCGAACAAAGATCCCGGCGTTTACCAGGGGGGCCAAAACAAGTTCTTTCGCTTTCCTACCGACCAAGATACAGTCAACAACTACGACCTTCTGGGCGGCTTGATCGCCGTCCGCGGGTATTATTCCAGTACTCGGTTCTCTACTTCAAGAACTCTCCTCAATCTCAATGCTCAGTGCAGCCCCTTCTACAAATCGATCAACGCACGCGAGCTGATTCAACTTTTTCAAAAGTTGATTCCTGGTGATTGGCGAGCTTTGGAACGTTTCTTAGGGAAATTGCGGGTCGAAACGTCATACATGAAAGCGCCGGACGGGGCTCCGAGTTCGAAAGTGAGAACCATTGTCGGTCTGTCGCACAAGACGGTACTTGATGATGGGAGCGAGAAGATCAGCCTTGGAGATTCGAACGAGATCAAGTTCAAGCGCTTCGGACGCCCAGCAGAGATAAGTGTAAAAGAGTATTTCCATACAGGCAAGTTTCCTACTGCGACCTAGCGAGAGAGGACTGACACCTCTCCAGAGTACGGCCTGACATTAAGCCATCCCACGGCTTATGTCTTGAATTGCGGTATGTCTTGAAAATTGACGATGATGTACGTGCTAACTATGTAATGCTCAGGAACGAGGGACCATCCCGTATGGATACCTCCTGAGCTTTGCACAGTCATGCCAGGGCAGCCGTACCGTGGGCAATTGAACGATGTTCAACTCGCCAGAATGATCACCATTGCGGCGCGTCCGCCTGCTGAAAACGCTTCACGTATTATGGCGGAAGACGGAGGTCTCGGTCTATTGGGGGTGCTCCCAAGCACGTGTGAGAACTTGGTAAACTTGCCTGGTCCTTACATTTGATGTTGATTGGGCTTTCGCAGACTGATAGCTTTTCGTAGGCTGCTTTTGGGGTGACAGTCAACCCCAAGATGATTGCGGTGCCTGGACGAGTGCTCACAGCTCCGAGAGTCATGTATTCTGGGAACAGTACGGCTAGGATTGCATGTGGTTCCTGGAATATGAAGGACAAGACAGTATGGAAACCTGCGACTCTTGCAGACTGGACAATGCTCAGGATCGGTGCCGCAGCCGACATTGACCCGACGGTATTCGAGCAACAATGCAAAGCCTTGACAGCTGGTCTCAGGTCATGTGGTATGAAGGTCAATGCACCACTGGTTTTTCCCGGACCAGCTGTTCCAGCATTCAATACGATCTTGGACAAAGATACCGTCGATTTGAAGCTCCGGGAAACCTTTGAAAAGTGCAGAGCTAGAAAGATCTCTGTGCTCCTAGTCGTTCTACCGTCGACTGCCCCTTGGGTTCGTGAAAGAGTGAAGTTCTGGGGCGATAAAGTATATGGTATGCCTTCCAGCCTTGCCCTTTTCTCCGGTCAAGTCCATGCTGACTTCAGAGTGCAGGCATTCACAGTAGCTGTGTCCAAATGGACAAACTCCGGAAACAAGATCCGAGCTACTTTGCCAATGTCGCACTGAAGGTCAATCTTAAGCTTGGGGGTACAAATCAGTGCATCTCTCCTGGCGACCTTGGCTTTTTGAGGCATGGGAAAACAATGCTTGTGGGTATCGACGTAACACATCCAGCGCCTGGCTCCATGAAAGGCACTCCAAGTATCGCCGGAGTGGTCGCCAGCATCGACGCAACTTTCGGCCAATGGCCGGGAAACATATGCTGTCAGGAAAGCAAGAAAGAGATGGTCTCGAGCCTCGACGTCATGATGGAGGAGCGGTTGGAATACTGGGTCTCGAAGAACCCAGGGCAACTGCTGGAAAATATCGTCGTTTACCGTGATGGTAAGTACAACGATCAACATGGAGGGAGTCTCGCTGACAAATGATGCTCTCTACTAGGAGTATCAGAGGGTCAGTATATGACTGTTCGGCGTGGTGAAATACCAGCCATTCGTAATGCTTGTGCGAAGGTCTTCAAAGATGCCGCACAACCCAAGATTACCTTTCTCGTCGTGGGGAAAAATCATCACACGCGGTTCTATCCTACGAACAAGAAACAGGCGGACCAGAAGCACAACTGTAATATCCAAAATGGTACCGTGGTCGACAGAGGCATTACGATGCAGAAAGGCTGGGATTTCTATATGGCCGCCCATGCAGCTTTACAGGGCACAGTAAGTTCCCTTTCACCAATCTCGAATATCTGCTAACCCTAGGAAGACAAAACCAGCCCATTATGTCGTCCTGCTCGATGAGATCAAAGACACTAACAAGCTCAGCGCCAACCATTTGGAGAAGATCACCCACAATCTTAGCTATCTCCAGGGCCGAGCGACAAAAGCCGTCTCGGTCTGCCCTCCAGCGTACTACGCACATCTGATTTGTCTGCGTGCGCGCTGCTATCTCGCAGACTTCATCAGTCGCAACGCTGGGAAGGAGTTCGACTGGAACCACGCTCCGTGGCGCTCAGGGGTTCATGAGAGGTATGTTGATTACCAAATGGAGCCCGATACTGTTCTTGGAGGAGGCAACGCTCATTCTCGCGCAGTCTCAAGGATTCCATGTTCTACATCTAAAATGTGGATAGACTTGCACTGAGATATTACTGGATCACAGCGTTATTGAAAATAAGTATTTCCAAAAAAAACAAGTTCTACTTCGAGGCTGCTGATCAAGACGAATGACTTTTCAGGGCTCTGGAAACGTGGTCAGATGAAATTGGCAAGATTCGCAGCTTCAAAGTGGCACTCTACACAGACTTCCATCTTGAAGTCTCAAGATTTTGCTCCGGATAGAAAAGGTGCTACTCATAGATGGTCAGAAAATTGTTTTCTAGAGGAACTTCTAATCCGCCGTTCACGAGCCCTTCTATTTCAGTCAAGACTAGATGACTACGTGCTTAATTCATCCTGACATAATCTCTAACATACAGACTTACTACTACATCGATTCACAGACTGCTCGAAGGCCCCCTTGTCCATCACCAGACTAATCCCCAAAAACGGCATCTTGCCAGAAAATAGGACATCTATTTTACAAGTGCCCAAACAAGGAATGCCAATAACAAAATCAAACCCCAGCCTACTGATCAGGTTGCCTAAACCACTCCTCCGTACTGAGAAACATTGTGAGAAGGCTCAATCCCAGTTGAAAACATATGCAGAGACAAGTAATGCTCGACTACGTCACTGATGCACAGACACGGACCTGTCATCAACGCTGCGCTGATAGGAGGCCGAGGATGGTGAAGATGAAAGTGATGCCAAGGTCAGTCAATACTCCTTACCTTTGGTGCTTCAGAAGCACGGATCAACTCTGTCGGTTTGTGCATGTGTCTTTTTCGCTTCCATACATACATACACAAATCGATTATTCATGACTTGCGCTACGTGAGTAAATAGAAAGGATGTCATAGGATAATGGTCTTATCGCGAAGCCATCAAATTCTTTGTCCGTTCAGAACACAAACAGGCTGCCTTCCCTTCTGATTGTCGTTGTTCAGGCACCAACACAATGTCATTCATCGACAGAGCTCTAGATCGCCAACACCTCGGCTCGTGACTCTCGGATCTTCAGGTTTCCCCTCTTTCTTATCATCGTCACACCCACAAGTAGCCAGCATCAACTCAGGCTCAAACTCAGCGTCAAACATGAACGGAAACTCTCCAGATCCAGGCGACAGCCAGCACCATACGCAAAACCAAGCTCAGATCGCCCCTCAGACCCCAAATCACACCTCAACACCAAATTCGGTTCAGGACCAGCTACACGCGCAAGACGAACATCTCAACGCCCAAGCGGCAGTCCTGCTCAACGGATTCCTCGCAAAGACCCGCCGCTTGATCTCATCTGAGCTCGGAAAGGACACGGACTGCACCATCTGTTCAGAGCCCTTCCTTCGCGGCGACAACCCCGAAGTGCCCGTGAGGCTCGACTGCGGCCACACCTTCGGCATGGGCTGCATCCTGAAATGGCTGTCCCCCGTATCGCGCGACGGCAACAACAGTTGTCCCAATTGCCGGAAGCCGATCTTCGACGACTGGGATCCGATGGACTTTCCCGTGGCCCGGGAGACGGCACCGGTTGGGAGGAGGAGAGTCACGGCTGCGCCTGTCAGAATTTCCGCAGATGACCCGTCTGTCGGCAGAGACGAACGACGCGGACCATCTCGACTACCAGCGTGGCTTCAGCCCGAGAACTTACCGTCATGGCTTCGGCTTCCGGACGACTTTCCGACTGGGGGTGTAGATCCGACAGCCGTCGCCGCCGAACCGGTTGATGCTACGGCAAGCACGAGCCCAGTCGCCCCAATTCCGGGGTCTGTGGCTCCAAATGCACCTCTACCTTCTACAGTGGTCGCCACTGAGGAGGCCTGGGATCAGCAGCAGGCAGTTGGGGAACCACAGACAGTAGCGACGAACGAATCAAGGACTTCGGAGATGTCAACACCTGACGACACGGCTTCTTCTTTGCCTCCATCCACACAACGCAGTGGCCAGAGACCCGCCTCGACGATCAGTCAGAGGGAGGGAGAGGACGTTACGGCAGGCTCGCTGCGAGTTGAGGAGGCACAGAGACGATATCTGGAGACAAGCAGTCGCTTGGATTTGTGGAGACCTGGAGAGATGGAACTGGAGCTTCAGGCGCGGTTGCAAGAACTGGTCAACGCGTACAGAGCTGCCGGTAGAGCCGATCGTAGAGCCGATCGTAGAGCCGCTCGCAGACCAGCCGCGGCAGCCAGCCCAGCACCACCACTGGCCGCCCGCCCCACCGAAGACGAAGACAACGGCGTCGCCGCGATGTTCAACGCCGCCGAAACCGAACACGACCAACGGCGCCAGCAAGCAGCCACGAACGAGCGCAAACGCCACATGTGGATGCAATTCTGCGAAGGCGTCGTCCGCACCATCGAACAATCCGCCGACAGCGCCGCCCTCGCCAACCACGACCTAGCCCTCACAATCATCAGCATGCGAGACCTCGACGGGTTCATCGCCGAGCGAGCGACCGAGACCCCGACATGGCGCCGCACACTGCGGACCTTTCCGCGCCTGCACACGGAAATGGTGACCCGGTTCGACGATTTTCGTCCCTTGCCCTCCGTCACCATTGGCGATCGTATCGGGCTCGAGCGCCTCCTGGCAGGCACCAGCTTCGACAGAGAGACACTCCACAAAGCGGCGTGGTACACGCGCCTGAGTGAACGTCTGGCACGGACGGGGGGCGGCGAATTCGATGCAGGAACGCGGCCCGTGGCTCGCTTGACGGAAGGTATGGCGAATCTCTCGGGCCCATCTCGCGAGAGCACGGCATCCATCACCACCACCGGCTTCGGGTGAGCGGCCTACGGCGGAGGAGACGAGGGAGACGCGGAGAATGGAGGACTGTTTGCTGGGCGGGGCGCCGATCACTGTCAAGGGGGGCGGCAGCTGCATCTGTGGATGCGGCGCTCCGGGCCTGTGCGGAGTCGAATTTTGCGATGACGATGACGACAGGTTTGTGAGTGGATGGTATGCTTGAATGCGGACTGTGGGGTGAATGGGATGGATGGGTTAAGGTATGATGGAGAGATGCCTTCTTTTGATCTAGACTAGACCCGTAGCACTCGTAAGAGAAGGATTAGTAATGCAAAGAAACCAACGCTGCACTCAGTCCAATTCTGGATCCACTTTTTCGATTCACGAGAGCCTGAAGACGTCAATGCCATGCAAGAGCATGAAGAAAGGCCTGGGTCCATCAGATGAGAGGGTCAAGCTTACCTAGGGCCGCTGAATGGCTGAGCTAGATTACTCTACGGGTCGCTTCTCGTACCATGATGGAATCTTGGCACAGCACTGTTTCCCTTTACTCGTTCCAAAGTAATCAAAAAGCAAAGCATTGCTTAATCCCAATCACTACCTCGTTGAATGCCGCTCCTGTTCTGAAAGGTGAGCAGCGCCGCTATATCGTTGAATGCCGCTCCTGTTCTGAAAGGTGAGCAGCGCCGCTATACACATCACCCGCACCGGGTAAGGCGAGGCTGAGGCGAGGGTAAGCCGCAGCTGAACGGAAGGGACCCATTCGAGCTCCGTAGCCTTCGGTTGAATTCACTCGGGGTTACCTATAAGGGACGACCTTTTCAGCCCCTTGCTCTAACGGAGAGCTACAACTCCCCCTACGTGATTTAGTCAGTATCAGAATAAACGTACGCTGATCTGGGATTGCTTTTTCGAAGCCAATGCGCTTCGTGTGCGTTGGGGTAGTAGCTGTAGGCCAGCGATAACAGTTCTATTTTGCATCGCGAGCATTTCTCAACCTCTCCTACCCGCGGGAGGTATTTCTCATTATTTGTTTGTTCATGGAAACAAGCTACGGATCGGACGCTTTCTTCCTCTCTAATCTCCTTCACTCGGTGGAACTACCAGCGTATGTCTGGTCTTTATCGCACAACCCGAGAAAGGGTCTCCAGAATTTTGCACACTCTCTGGATTCCAATCTGTATGGCGAAGCTTTCAATGCTTGATGTCGCATTCTCTCACCCTCAGTCACTACGAGGCCGAATCAACGGCACACATCCACAGTTGATATTAGGACTTTCTGCTTTAGGAAGTGAGAGACAACTATTCAAGCACAAAAGAGCAAAGGCTGGGCTAGGCAGTAGGGTAGATATTAGGCACCTAACGCAGTAGGGGCAGGTGGCCGAGTCGCAGGACGGAGAGCAAAACAGAATCAGGCAGGCAGCAGAACAGTGTAGGTGAAAGAGCAGGGTAGATGAAAGAGTAGGGCAAGGCAAATAGCTGGGCAGGCAACCAGTTAACAGGGTAGGTAACAGAGAAAGGTAGGGTAGGGCAAGCAGCCAGGTAGGTAATAGAGTCGCGGAGCAGGGATATAATAGCAATCTGCTATGATAGTAACGGACTGAACAGAAGGAGAGTGTCAGCGCCACGATGGAATGGTGAGAAGCGCTGATCTTCGGGTCGAAGCTTTGACTGTGGAAGAGAGATGTCGCCGTCTACAACGACAAGGCATAAGGCGGTAGCACTTCAAGGTGCACTAGGAATGCACAACTGTGGTACGCAACCCTGAAACGAGCCCCTCCGCTGGAAAGGGCGTGCCCTGGCTCTTCACCGACCACCACCACATCATGCCGCGCCCCCCCGATTCGAGCAGTCGGGACACTCCGCCGGTATCCCGGCGCACGTGCTGCACCGGTTCGGTTCCGACATGTACGGGACGACGCGGAGGGGCTCCGGGCTGATGAACGATGCGCTCAGGGGAAAGGTGGGGGAGGGGAGGTCCTGTGCCCGAACCGGCGTTGAAGCGGCGGGTGAGGTCGAGCGTGGGAGCGGACGGCTTGTCGGGCGCGCGACCGCTATAGTCGAGATTTTGCTATATCAGTGGCGCGATAAGGTGACAAAAATTCTGGCCCGTTGGCCCCAAGCTCACTCGATACTTTGACCGAGGAGGACCTTCGGCTCGGTGAGATTGGTCTAATTCAAATATATATCGCTACCTAATGGAGTCTTCGCACCAACCCGTTCCCCACCACTGAAAGAGTTCAGATCAAATTTGAGTCGGTTAATTACTCACCACATGCTGGACTCCTTCCTATCCGGAACTAGCGCCTCTTGGCAGAGTCCCTGCGGCCTACCTATCCCATACCACTGTCCATAGCATAGACCTCCTTATCTACTAAATTCCTGGTCACACACCACCATAGACTTGATCCGGCACGGGTCGCAACAGGGTTACGAATCCATCCGTAGAACATACGATCCTACGTCACAAGGAATTTTACCGTCCCTGCAATGTCCTGCTCTTCCCGCTCTAGATCCTGCTTGACCGATGCGGCTGCGTGATCCAACAAAATCGGATCCTTTCTTCTTCCGCTAGTCGCTTTCGATCCGTCACTACAATTATCCGATTCTCTGATATTCAAAGCTCATTGAATAACTGGAGCTTACTTATCCGCTAATGACTGTTTTTAATGACTGTTTTTCGACAACAACCTATGGTGAAGCTAGATTCGAGATAGGAAACTATCCGTCTATACAGTTAGCCGTATCTTATTAGTCAGTAGTACATATTATTCACAGCTATTAATCTTCAAGGTAGGTTCCTCTCCGCAGTATTTATCGGAAACGGTACCAGAACCGCTTCTTCGAATGATGTACCAACTTCCTAGTATCATCCTCTGTATGCACCGATGGAGTAACTTCTCAGTTGCTCTTTGAAGACGTGATCATTCTCCGGTAGTATTCGTCAGGTCTATAGATTATCCGCGTCATCCGCCGTATTTGGCTGGTTCCATCGGATGCAGAATTTGGGCGCTCGCTTCAGACTTCGTCTGCGGTTGATATTCTTTTCGAAAGAGCTCGGTTCTATAAATATACTCGGATAACACCTCACGACAATTTGCTCTGTAAGCAGCACTGTTCAAGTTTATCGGTCGCATTGTGGCTATATTGACTCTGTCGATTTGCAGTTGGGATATGTCACAATTCCGGCCATTGTCAGCCCAAGCCAAGGCACGTCGAAGTCATTCCCTCATCAGTCTATTTTAGCACCACATGATTTCAGTTCTATTCTTACCCCCCTTCTAGCGTACTCATTCTCAATCAAACCAAAACAACAATCCCAATGCATATGGAACATGGTCATGAGACTGACTCGGCCCAGATCTCCAGTGCCTCCCTATAAGCACCCTCGCCGCCACCCGTCATAGGCTTGAGGCTCTCAGCATCATCGGCGAAAGTCTCGTTGTCGTCGAAACCGTTCTCGCGTGCGAGTTCGGCGGTTTTGCGCTTGCGGCCCATGGCGGCAGCGAAAGCCGAGGAGTGCCGGAAGAGAGTTTGCGTGAAGAAGGCGTCTGACGAGGCAAATAGTCTCGAGAAAGAGCAGATGAGGAGGGTAGATGAGGAGTACGTGATGGGAGTCGCTCGAGGGGAGGCGCGCTGCCGCTATACAGAGGCCAAGCTAATTGGCATGGCGCCATCCCGCAATGCGGCATTCTAGCACTACCATGAATAGTGTCGTCGTTAAAACTTGACCCTTTTCGCATCGATGGTGGGGATGGAGGAAATGTGGGATTCGGTTTTGGTCCCTAGGGGACGTTTTCGAGATGCGTTACCTACAACAGAGTTTTCGCTTAATTAATCCGCACCCGCGTCACAGTTCTGAGATCATTATTCATTTTTTATTATTATTCCATAACCACTTGATAAAATAACTTCAAATTTGAGATATGGGTCAATTAGATAGTAGAGTACACCTGCTAGCCATGGAATTTATTATCACCTTGTTGATCCTTCACGCGTTCCATCCGATTACATAACTTCCCACACCATTGGCCCACTCTTTCCATATCTAAATTCTGCCACTCATCGTCCCAAGCCTCAATCGTACTCTCCTTAGTCTTAGGTGCGTATGGTCTCTTCGAGACTTTCCGCTTCAAATAGTACCAGCATGGCTCAATTTGATTCAAATCAGGGGAGTTTGCTGGCCATGGAAGGACTGTAAGATGCGGGATTTCAAGAAGTTCCTTTTGTTGCCACGCATTATGACTGGGAGCACCGTCTTGAACCAGAAAACACTCGCCGTACTTGGCAATTACCTCATGAATGAATGGGATCAATCGAGGCAATAGAATGTATGTCTGATACCGATACCAATCGATCCCTCCTTTGGCATTCTTGTTCCTCTCAAGCAGTACACCCTCAGGCTTTGGAACGCGTTTAAGACGCCGACTTGGGGGTTTTCTGGCTTGCTCCGCTAGGAAATGCTCCTGGATAATCTGTTGCTGGACCAGGTACTCGGAGTTTCGACTATTGAGATCCTCCTGGGCATGGTGTCTTTCTGGAGCGGATTCTTTGGTAAACATGAAGCTTGGGCCACGCATTTCCGAAGTATAACAGCCCCAAAACATCATTTCTGTGTAGCCACGGTATCGTATATCTATACAATCCTGGTGGTATGCCTCCTCAAAAAGCCGTGTGACCCAAATTTGCCCTCGAGATTCTCCAACGCGGATCGATGTCTCGTCACTATGAACCACCATATGTTCCTTGCCTCGTAGTCTCTCCAGCCAATCAATAGCGAATTATAGACGTTTTTGCTTCTGTTCTGGAGACAGTGGGGGCTTATATCGAGGAGGATATCGTCCATAGCCGGCTCTGGAGAATGCTGCATTGATGGCTGTTGCAGAGGCCATGCATCCCACCTCACGGGCAATCGTTACCCAAGGCTTGCGACGCTGGAATCGATTCTTGGTAGCATGTCTAATGAGACGTCGTAGAAGCCGTTCATTGATTGCTAGAGGTCGTCCGGACTGTGGACGTCGTTGGTGTACCTCTGAAGAAAGTGGATCGATATTTTCTTTCTCCGCCTCAGAGACGCGTTTCTTGGTGTTTCGAACCGTTTTTTCGTCACATTTGTAGGCCTTGGCTATCTGACGATTTGATGCATTATTGAGATTGCTGAGGGCTACCAATACACCCTTTTTAGGACCTGAAAGATCAGTTTTACCCTTGGTGCGTCCCATGGTAATGTGGGTATTGAAGGTGTTTTGGTGGGGATTCGCGATTTTTCGCGTTTCGCGGGTGCGGATTAATTAAGCGAAAACTCTGTTGTACAGCTTATTTAACCGAGGTGAGCCTGGTTGAGCGCACGTGATGCGACTCACCCAAAAAGTGGCGAGCTCACTTGCTTGATCGGATCAGAGCGACGGCCTGCGCACGTACAGACTCGGGTTAGAAAACAAGCCGTGTTTGCGGGGTTAGTTCAACTACCCAACCAAGTTGATACGTGCATAGGGTTGCGAGTTCATTGTTCAGTGATGAAATGGATCCAGCGCAATCATTGGGATACATCGCGTCCACGCTTTCGATGTCATAGAATTTTGGCCATCAAGCGCCGCGGTACTCTGGTGGAAAGCTCGAAGCTACCTTTCAAAGATCTAAAAACGAGACATTGCAACCGTGAAGACCTATGCGTGAATGAATTTCCTTCTCCATACTTTTTTGAGGCCTTGGTGAAGGGCTCTCAATCTCTGGGAGCCTCGAGGAAACAGGGGTGGCAATGTAGGGGACGTGACAGAGAATGTCGGCAGCTGCCATTTTTGGGCAATGATCGCTCTGCCAATGTTCTTTGTTGTATGTGACCTCTGCTAGATTGTGCTTTTTCTGTCGGAAATATGGATCATCAAGCGGATATGTTCAAATACTAGGCATGAAGCGTGGCGTGATTCTTGCTCCAGTTGAGACGGACCAGATCTGAGACGGAGAGAGAAGCGGAAAGTGATCGAAATAACTTTGTGCTATGAGACGTTTCGATGAAGTGAATTGTTTGCACATAGGATGTGACAGATGACGTCCGCCAATTTCTACCCTTTTTAGCCTCAAAGCATCAGACAGGATCCCTGTACCAATGTAACGGCCATCCGTCAAGCTCTCTGGTGCATGAAATTCAAGGTCCAAGCTGTCTTGGTCTCACAGAACGGTTGTGACCTTGGCATTGCGTTTCTAAACATAATAGATGATGACGGTGCTTTTTCAATATCACTTATTCAAGCTATGCCAGCGTACAAACGAAAGGTCGTCTTCAGAGTTGCCGTGCGGATCTGGCCTTTCATGCTGAAGGCTGACGGCATAACAGAACACCACTTTAGCCGTCACCCCTCGGATCAAATGGATCCGGTGGAACTCGCAAAGACTTTTTACAGATGGCGTTTTTTTGGGGGGAGAGGCGAGATTTGGAAGATTGAGTGTGGATGCCTGGAGGACATGACCTCTTGCCAAGGTTGGTGTGGCACAGTAGAAACAGGGCGTCAGGCAACAAGGTCATGCATTGTAACCCTCGGGAGGATGATGTGAGACCTCGTCCTTCACAGCAGCCAAATCTCCCGAAAAGCTGGGGTAAGTATGGCCAAAGATCGCCGATGACGACCACATGTTCAGGCTCAGATGTTCATCAAAGCTGCATCTACAACACGTTTGACTCTGATGTCATGAGGCTGAAGACGATCGAAGGGTCCGCGAAGGATGGAAAGGATGGTAAAGTTGGAGCTCAAGCAACAGCCTCGAGGCAACGCGTACACTGTTTCAAAGTCTGCAGCGTTGGCCGTCACGTCTGGAGATGGCACGGCCAAGGCTGTCACAATCGGACTCACCAAACGCAAGGTGTTGGATCAAGACTCATGGCTGCCAGATGCTGACACGTCTTCTGTTCTGCATGCCGGCCCCTGCTTCGGCAAACATGAACAGGTGAGCAGATGAATAGGTGTGCCGAAGCCTGATGGTCTTTTCAGACTTGAGAAGATAAGTATTAGCACAATCAAGACGAAGACGTAATCGGATGACGCATTCATTTTAGCATCGAGTCACTTCGGCGGTTTGGAGCGAGACAAAGCGGGAGGAGAGGATCAAAGCACAGTTTGGCGGAAAGCAATTGCTGACGGCTGGCGGTTTGACAGAGTCAGAAGGATAGATTAATTGGCCGCGTGTGCCAGCAGCATCAGAAATACAGCTGTGCTGAGAGCGTTTCTCGGTGTGTGTTTATTTTATGTTTGTCATCATCGAGTCTGCCTTCCTTTCAACCTTTCAATATTTCGGCAAGACTTCAGCTGCCATGGACAGTCTTGGCATTTTCCCGCAGTCATATTGGATCCCACCCTAGCAGCCAAGCCACTCCCAAAGTAGTATAGTACATCGCTTAAACTTTTAGCGTATGAAGCGATGGATTCCTGTTCCCCACTTTCCATCCATTTTCACCCTCCATCATCATTTTCTACTACCTACTTTTACTGCCATTCGCGTCACTTCCAACAGTCATAATTGTTCCCACAATCCACAACATCCCCGCAACAAGTAGGCGCAGCTTGCAATTGTTCAATCAATTCATGCGATGCTCACGTTCAATGCTACCACGCCACCGACCATCCGAGACCACCTCTCCCCAGCCTTGTGGGCATGGCCCCCCACCAAGATGGGCTCTCGACGTCGAAGAACTCCGGTGGCTTTGAGCACAGCTTGCGAAGCCACAAGGCCAAGCGCGATAGTTGGTCAACGGATGACGGAACGGCCAGTCGCAAGGCAGCAATTGAGTCAATTGACCACTGATGAGTCTCAGCTGACCTTAGTGCGAACTGGCATTTGATGGTGTCTACACCTGATAGAGCCTTAGAGCATGCATAGGGCCATTGATGCCTATGACTCGAAGCTAGGCAAGTTTGGATCAACAGGCATCAATTACATACTTCTCTTCCATACTTCTCATTTTCTATATCATCTCCCAATCGCGCACATCTCTTTCCTCTCTTCTCTTCATCTTCTAACATTCCTCAAACGCAAACATAACACACGGTGTTGGCCAAGGTAGTAAATCCTGCTTCGCCCACCGATCCTTTCCTCGTCACCAACAACAACATCGGCCTCGAAACACGACCTCTCATATTTCAATCCTTCACGTCGTCATCAAAGATTGTGTGACATCATTCTGTGTTACCTGTGCTATCATTATCTCCAAACAACGTCGAGCGTCGTCTACTTAACCAGCCCATTGTCGCCGATTCTTAAGGTGTCTCCCCAATACACCAGGACCACGTACTACTACATCTCAACCCCACCATCATTCCCACCGATTTCACCAAAACCAACCCACCCTGAACCCACAATGGATTCCGCACCCCGCCAAGTAGGCTTCGCGCCCATCCCCGCCACCTACTCGCGTCTACCCCACGACGACGAGCTCTACGTCATGAAAACCTTCGCCCGCCACGCCTCTCACTGCTCCGCCTGCGCCCACCCCTACGAGGTCCACCGCAAAGGCGGCAGTCTCTGCTCCAAAGGCCACCAGCGAGCCCTCGACGTCGCCCAGTACGTCTTCAACAAAGCCGGCCAAACCTTCTCCGTCGTCGACCTCGAGGGCAACCGCCGCGTGCAGATGGAGATCCCGGCCGACTGCGCCGTCGTCCGCGAGCTGCTCAAGGCGATGGAACGCGGCCTCCGCCTGCGCCGGAGGGTCCCCGCCGCCAGCTACGACGAGACGTACCACGTCGCCCCGAGGGTGATGCAGCCGACCTTCGAGCACCGACGCCCGCAGGAGCCCCGTTACATCCGCAAGCCGATGCTCGAGACCGCCATGCCGCCTACACCGCGGCGCGAGAAGCACTCCCACTCCGGCCGCGGGAGCCTGTACGAGGCTGACATGAAGGAGCGGGAGCGGCGGAACAGGTCGCGAACCGCCAGGGGTGCGCCGCCCTTGCCGGCCAAGGACGATGACTATTACTACTGAGAGAAGTACGATTACGACATGAGATGCTATGAATGATCGATCATGATCGCATGATGATGATGAGTCCGACTTCCAACAAAGGGACACCAATAAATCGGACACACGCCGTATGGAACCACCCTAACGCAGACGTCGCCGGCGCACATTCTGCTCGCCTCGGGTGCCTCTGCTACACCACAAACGACATTGACCATCTCCGGCCCTAAAACTGCTTCAGGCGTGGTTGCACCGGGATGGAATTGCGCTTCGGGTTCATGTTTGGAGGCGGACAAGGGGAAGACAGACGGAAGAGGATTTTGTAAAGGAAGCAGATGGAGGAGCACTTGGGCTGGTGATAAAGCCGATGATGATGTTGCAACCCGAAATAGCCTAGAATCCATAATATTGCCACACACCAGATGTTCGAACTTTACTGTACTTTATCTCGTCCGGGCCTGCTCCCTAAATACCTTACCCCGCACCTTGCGGCTTCGAAGAAGAACATCCAAAGCAATCTAACCTCAAACAGCCAGACCCTCTAGAAGGATCCATGACACAGAGAGCAGAAGCCGAGCCCAAGACCACACCGAGACCAACCCGCAATCCAGACCTCGCCCATTTCCCACCCCCTCTCCATGAAACCTCTTCACATGGAACATCCATCCCCGCCCGGCACCCTCGCACTCCCCAGTCCCAGCTCCCCCAAGGGCGACCGTCCCATCTCTTCGACAAGCCGCGCAGGTGCCGGCGTCTGCCTCCACCGGATGTGGTCCTCGACGCCGTGCTGGGCGATGGATTCCGCGTCGCCGGCGTTCGTCGCGTCGGTTAGGTTATGGTCAGATGCCGCGCAAACAAAGCCCCGAAAAGGAAAAAGAAGACTGTCGGTTAGATTATCGTTAGATTCGATTCACCCCAGCTGATGGCGCCTCCCAAGCTTTTACCGACCGTGATGACGGGATGCGTACGATCTATCACCTCGTCTCCTACTTGATTCATTCTTTCGTTGCCATTCCAATCGTGCCTCCCAGGACCCATATCATTGACTCGCTTCCCTCATACCCCCATTACCCACTCCTCGCCGATCGCTGTATCAGATTCTCTTCCGCCTATAATGCATTTTTGGCGATTGCAAATAAGACTCCAAGATCTGTCTTTGATGCCGCAGGGTTCTGTCAGTTTATGCCTACGTCTGTGGACACAAAACGCTGGATACTGTCACGGTGCTATTTGACATATCAACCTTGAGAACAAGGCCTTTCCTTTGGACCAAATTTTGTCAAGATATCAGGTATGGTAGAATGAATGGTGTGTAGATTGCATGAATTATTCTATCTCAGGACTCCCCTGGGCCAGTATTTGTACCCCTCACAAAATAGGTGGTTGTTCCAACAGGTGGCTGGGAGGAGGCTGGGAACCTTATTTTGACAAATTTTGGACTGACGCTGTCCATAGTCGAGTAGCAGGTGTTGATTTTCGATGATGCTGATGTTGATGATGTATGCAGAGTGTGAATGATTGAGTGGTTCTCCTATTCGTGCTCCTTCACAAAGTCTGATCCCAAGTATCCTGGATAGTGCTGTAAACGCGGCTCCGATTGACAACGTCAACGGGCTTCTACTGAGCACTCAGACGTTGCTTGGGACTTCGAGTTCTTGTGAATGTTCCGCTCCTCTCAGCTCGTGGGGTCTATGGGACGACGCTGAATGCATGCGTGAGTGGCCGTTATCGGGCATCTCGAATATGGTGTCTTCCCCGTTCAACTCATGCCTCGTTCTTTCGGCTTCTAGTTCATGCCTCCTCCGTTCTTCATCTTCCAACTCTGCTTTCTGATCCACGTAGAGTTGCGCGTCGGATGATTTTTCTGGATGGATCGCGTCGGCTGCCTGGCTTCGTTTGTTCCGGTATCTACGGACGATGATGAAGCAGAACAGAAGTATCATGATTCCGACGGTTGGTAACACAACAGAGAGTATGATAATTTGCGTAGGATGGCCACGGCTCCCTGGTGTTGAGCTCCCAGTCAGGTTTTCGGCTGAGTGTACTGCCGCTGAGCCTTCCGCTGGAGTTGCCGGAGAGGCTACTGTCGCTGAGACTGCTGCTCGAGCTCCCACGAACGTTGGAATGCTTTGTGACGGCGGTATTGAAGCAGTACAACCTTCCAATCCTTCAGTGGCTAAAAAGGAAGAGTATACGTCATCCAGAAAAGAGGAGTACATCGTCCGCCACACCTGTTAGCCCTGCTAGACTAGACGTAGGTAAGAAGCTCAAGAAATCAAATGGAGATGTGATATTGGCTGTGTAGGCGGTAATCAATGGGATCGGTGAGTTGGCATGTTTGACACAATTCCCTGACGTTGATGATGTTGTGGTGATAGAGTATGCCGTGATGGCAAGGTAGGCATTCAGGTATGGTGTCCTGTGGACTCTATGTATTAGCCACAAGGTAGCGGTGTCTTTCCGGAGTCCTACCCTATCGCAGGATTGCCATAATCCCAAGAAGTACTATTCATGGTAATCAAATCTGCGTTGACATCGCAGCCGGTGCACATCAGCGTTGCACTACAAGTGCTACAAGAAGCAGCTACATGGAGTGATTAGCCGACAATTTGAATCCGCTGGAAGAGACTCACTTGACGCTAGTTGGCTCGTACATAGGCCAAGTACGAAGCAAAGGATAATCATTTCACTCAAATATAGATCCATGATGGGAACAAGATGAAGGTCGAGTGCACAGTTGCAGGATTGGGCAAAAATCAAAAAGAAGATTGATCTCTAGGGAAAAAGATTCAGCTGAGCCATGACAGTTTGCACGAAGATGTAAGACGATGCTTCCTCAGGCGGCAACACAATAACCTTCCCCGCTTTTCAGCGGCGTACATCGAGGAGCAAGGAACCATTCGCTATCCTCAGATCATATCCGTTAACTCGCATGAAAGCTGCACTGCGCCACAATCTCGCCCGTCCGGGACGTCCGGACCTGCCTTCTTTGAGGTATAATCTACACTGACAATGCGAGGAGCTGAGCTTTTTCGTTCTCCGAGTCAGTTCAGCATTACATTGCATTGTGAGAGCAGCATGGATTCCGTCACGCTTCATAGCAAAGGCATACTGCGGCGCTACATCCGCCGGAATGTTCTTCTGTACCCTCATGAAAAGAGTTATAGGAAAGCATATGAGCTAGGAATGACGACTTGTGAATCAAGATTGTGAGCTGCGGTATGAGTTGGTGCAGGTCCACTGGTCTTTATGTATTAGCGTGTGCACAAGATGCTATAATTGTTTTGGGTTGACAAGACTACAGCATCATCTGTTAACAGTGGGATGTGGGATAGGGGGGTAGGGGGAAAAAGGAGGGGTGGGGGGTTTTTAACACTCCTCAAAAATAAAAAAAAAAAAAGGGGGGGGGAGGGAAAAAAGGGAAAAAATTTTTTTATTAACACAAGGGGGGGGTTTTTTAAATATTTTTTTTTTTAAATAAAAATATTTTTCTCCCCCCCCCCCCCCAAATATATATATATTTTTTTTCCAAAGGGGGGGGGGAAAAAAAAAAATATTTTTTTTAAAAAAAATTTTTTATATAAAATAAAAAAAAAAAAAAAAAAAATATAACCCCAATAAAATAAAAAAAAAAAAATATATAAATAAATAATTTTTATTTAACGTGCTTAAACCTCTCATTAGGCCATCACCTCGGAGTTTGCTAGTATATTCTCTATTGGAAATGTTCTCGATCCTATACGCACTGTTCTGAACCTCCCAAGTCGAAATCCTCAAAAAGTGTTCACTCTTCACAATTTCTAGATGTCTTGTTGACGGCCAAGATAGCCCAAACATTTCTTAATTGAGGAATCACAGATTCAGGGGCAAACTGTAGAGCGCTTAAAACCCCATATCATTAACAAACTTTAGAGTAGCTATTATCAAGCTATATGATTGTAGCATTGTAAAAGGTTCAATTGTCGCAACAGTGGGACTATAGGTTAGTGGGTCCATTATAAGGCCATAGCGTTGGTGGTTGTTTAATCAACCGTAAAGACTATTATAATTTTAAAAGAAATTAGATTAAATAAATAACAGTTATAGATGAGGTAGTATACGTACATTTTTTTCTAAATGTATATTCGCTAGAATAGTCACGCTGAAACGGCTGAAAGATGCGAATATGTGGAATCACCAAACCCCCAGTCCTACTGTGGCAAGGAGTCTCTACAAGTATGGTCATAGCAGTACCACTGTTCGGCCCTTTGTTATTCCGTTGGGTAACCTGTCCTCGTAACACATACGCCTAAATGATGGACAATCCCACCGTCCCGGTAATCGCTCCTCGCCGTCATAAAAACATCTACGCATTCCGCCTTTCGCAGTCCTCACCTCACCAACACCGCCACACCATCCCTTTCTCCCATCGATCCCTACCGATACTCGAAAAAATGGCCGCATCGCCTTCCATCGACACCCGGCGAACAAACCATGACGCTCTCGGTTTCGTGACCGATTCGCTCCAAGCATTTCCATCGCAAACTTTCCTCGTCCTCGTCTTCTTTTACCTGCTCGCGCTCGCCGCTACTTCATGGCTGATGGTACAGTGGTTGGCACCGAGGTCTTCCGATAAAGCGATCCCTCCGAAGCAATGCCCGTCGTGCGGGCGTGCTGATATTATAAAGACTAGGAACGACGACGCAAACTCTAGGAGTAAAGAGTGAGAGCAAGGGAGGGATGGAAGAAGCAGTAAGCATCGTGCAGCAACGGAAGCAGCGGTGGGGCGGTGTTGGCTTATCATCTCCAGTTCAGGCATAGTTGATGTCGTCGGCGCAAGGGGATTTCACATAAGTCACAGGGTACCATTGTTCTGAAACGCGCACATTGGGAAAGCAATCATGTGTATGGGGACTTGTGCGCGAGTGTCGATCACAAACGATGGTTCTATATATCCGAGATACATGCAAATGGCAAACAGTCTATCATTCTATACCCGGCAATGAGCGAACACTTCTCCACCTCCGAAACACTTTCCATCCCCGACCCTGCACATGAGTTGTTGAAACCCCCTTCCGCACTCTTCCATAGCTACTCAGTCACAACGCGATATACCTAGGTACATCCATTGGCACGGTTACTGAGGCAGACATCACCGCCTTGAGACGAGCTGCCGTAACCCTCGCAAGAGGCCGTACTCATTTGCTGGGCCGTGACTTCGTCGTTGCATGTTGTCCACGTGGTAGTGAAGAAGCCGAACCTGACATTGTAGTCGGACCAGCTGATGCAACAGTTCGACCCGCCCTGGGACTGACACTGGCTGCGGGGTGCCTTGCCAACATTCAGAGTAAAAGTACAAGTCGAGCCGCTCAGGCAGCCGAAGACCTTAGCGCAGGCAGCCCATTTGACCGCGTGGCCTGCAACGACCTTGAAGGAGGAGCCGTCACGTTTTTCAAGGGCGGTGGCATTGCCAGCAATGGTGGCCAACAGGGAGTTGACGTCCGCGGTCATGTCTGGGTCGTTCGCATCGAATGGCTTCGCGTAGGCGGCCTCGGTCATGATCCTAGCCTTTTCCTCGTCGCTAGCCCCAGAAGCTGGGTTGAGGCTCGTGAGCCATGACTGGGTACTAGCGTTGTAACCGACGTAGTTGACGTCAACGTCGAACGGGCTCAAGTCGCCCTTGGCATGGGGGAAATGATCAGAGGCGGCAAGGGTGACGGTGACGCTACTAGCATTCACCGGTTGAGCAATACTGCTGTGGATCTGTGAAAGGCCGAGAAGAAGACTGGGAATGATGGCGGAGGAGAACATTGTTGATAGAATAGCTTGAATGGCTTCGGGAATGAACAAGGTGTGATGATTTTCTCGACGGAAAGGGTGGATGCTTTCTGGTCTATTGCAAGACAGGTGGTCCATACGTGTTATTTATACCCTAGGGAAACCTCTCATTCTCATACTTCGCCGCAGGAACACGAGCCCCTATTCCGAAAGAAGAGCTTGAAAACCGTAACCATCATCGACCCACACATAAGATGTCTCTGTCAGCTTCCACCATTCTCAATACCTCTACCCCGCCGCCGGTCTGCAACCAACGGCCTTCAACGTATCTCCTTGGATCGATTCCTAATCTCTATCAGCATCAAACGATCATTCCTCTAGGCTGTGCTTCACCGGTCACGGCACAAGCAAGAGCACAGCACAGCTCCCTTGCCTCGCTATCACATCAGCGCTAGCCCCTGCTAGCCATGTTGCTCGGAAATTGCAACAGCAGAGGCTTCGCCTTGGTTATGCAATCTCGTCTTCGGAAAGGCCAATCTGATCGGAACCCAGCTGACTGCTACCTGGCTACGCCGCGGGAAAGTCTTGGAATGAAGTAATGAACGGTGGAGCCCGATAGACTGGGGCAAACGCTCTCTCGCAGCTTGCGGCCGTGGCGGTAGGGTGCGCCTTGTATTTCTTCGCGGCTCTGTGTGAGAAACGGCAATAGCTGCGAACGGTGCAGTGGTGTATCAAGGAGGCTTGGTGGCCAAAATCAATTAAACTTTACGTAACATCAATGGCAATGCATTGACGTAGCCACTGTACATCCTGAAAAGCACTCTGGTCCACCTGCAGGTTATTCAAACACGCCTCAACTGCTGAATCGAAGGTTCAACAGCCTGCAGAGACCTGTCGTCTGAGCATGTCTCCAGCATACCTGCCTGTTTTGAATACGGGACCACAGGAATCTCAACCTTCATAGATTGCCACCTGACCACGTCCGCCCCTACATCTGCTGCAGTGTACCTCTTTGCGACGCACTGTGCCGAGCTGAGGGAGATCAGAGGGCCCGTGATGTCATGCGGCATGACTGGGCGGCGTTTGCTTGTGGTGCGGTGATGCAGCCTCGTGGGTGACAGTAGAGCCTGCACACACCTGACAATCCTCTCGCCTCATCATCTGGAACAGTTCATCGATACCTTCTGGAGAAAGTAACATGATTGTTGGAAAGGATCATTCCTGCGATTCCGTCTGATCACGGATCAAAAAACCGGGATAGGTTCTTTGATTGGCAAGTTGTAAACGATTCGCAGATTTTGGAACATATACATATTAAGATGACTAAGCTTGAGGACCGCATCCTCAGAAACGAGCGCGGTATGTGTACACGATTGACTGGGTGACAAAAGACGGTACTGGCATGGGATACCGGAGTTCGAGCGATTATGACGCCGCTCCGACGCAGAAGATTGGTAAAAACCACAGGTGCTGCGAGGTTTGAGAGGGGATATAGTACTCCATCATAGTGGGCACCCCCGCACAAGCGGAACGAATGACGAAACCTGTTCGGAAATAAGTCTGAGTAGAAATAATCTTGGCCGCTTACATTGATGATGGTGTTAGAACCGTGCTAGACCAAGTCAATAGCGGTGTGTAACGAAGATATTATTGATAGGGAGGAACTATTCGCCACAGTGGGACTTGGGGTTAGTGGGTCACATGATACGCCCCTGTTTCAGGGCCTTGTCGGTACCTCTGCAACGGGTGGGAGACAGGTGTCCAGTACGAGCTGTATAGCCATCTGTTTCACACCTGTCAATGGCTCTTCATGCGATGCCGGCTCTTTCAGAGCCACTATATACTTTTCGTCCTATTCATCCACACCTGTATATAGCTATCATCTCACTCCAGGTCTATACCATAGGCGTGGGAGTTTTCTTGCGCTGGGGTACGAGAAATATGCCTGTTCAGGCCTCTATCTAGGCCTGAAATTCAATCCCCGGCGTGAGACGGCCCAACCACTATCTACACTCTGATGCATGTGGTGCGTGTCTTTCATGAACGGGACAACTAAAAGATTGGAAACCGCCACTTTTGAACTTCGTACTTCCTTTCATCCCGTCCCCATCTCACACCCACAGCTGAAGTCACCGAGCATCTACTGTAGGCTGATCGGCCAGCTACGAGATCCGCCTGTGGTATGTGCAATCCAACACAGTTGGACTCTGTCGGACAAAAGACGAAAGGGGAGGGTCTGGTGTAATGCTGCAGAGTGTAATGGTTTCCGGTGGCAGCGGGAGTCTTCCCTGGCTTTTCACGTGTACTTTAGCCAGTTTTGTACCTAATGCGGACATGGTTGCGTGGCCGAGTGGGCAACAACAGTCCCACTCTATTTTCTATGGCTAGAGGGGCGCCCCTCCGGCTTCGAAAACACACACATTTTGGGCTGGTCGCCGCTACTACTTTAGTTGCATCAGGGACCACACCTGCAATTGGTATCAGGCTTGTAGAGATGTTCAGAGCCCGAGTCCGCTTAGGGTTCGGTACCTATACAAGTCTTGATCATGGCTACATAGGTTGCGCGCTTCGAGGTCAGACGGGAAACAAACAATTCCGGCCTCCCAAAGCATCCCTGTGTAGGATCGATCCAAAGGAGCGCAGTCAAAGTGCCTGAGATGGGTATGTTGTCCAGTCTCGAAGAGTCTCGCGCTTTCCAAGTTCACCGCAGGGCGTGTGCCTTGTAGGGAGCATGTCACACAACATCAACGCGTACAGTCATTATTCGTCTGGAAGCAGGCAACATCGTGCGTATGTTAGGGTGTTGATGACTGCGTTGGCACATGCACCCGATGTCATCGTTCTCAGAGACACGACGTTCAGTCATGTGGATTGGAAGGAGAAGTTCTGTGGAGCTTTTCGATGATACCCCCCAACCCTCAAGATTTTTGCTTTCGCTTTTTCTCTGCCGTTTCCGACGCACCTCCATATGGACCTCGATCCTCTCCAGCCGTCGCAGGTACCAGAAGACCGTAGTGAAGCTGAGCTCTGTTCAGCGCTACCCTGTTCTCAGTCCACCAACTTTCCGGCACCTTGCTGTTTCGAGCAGCGAGTATGCCTTTTGCCTTGTCGTGAAGTTTTTTCTCATCCCTAAACTCCCGCAATCGCTGCTCCAAGTTGCCGTGTTCAGACTCTTCGGGGACAATGAGACCGAGATGGGTATTCTTATAGCGCCTCGCATCGTCTATGCGTCCCTGTAGTGCAATCGCCAACATGAGGTTGTAGTGAATCGGTCCTTTCATCGATTTATCTTCCTCCAACCTGTTGTCTTGCAATGCTTCGCAGAGTAACTCCTCTGCTCTGTGCGAGTCGCCAAGGCGTGACAGAAGGATAGCAAAGTAGTATATTAGACGGGAAGCACGCCAGTGCCTTCTCAATGCAGTGCCGGCCAGCTCTATCATCTGGACAAAGAGATTTGCGATCGGTAGTCCTGGCGGTTGTTGGCGAGCATCTTCAGTCCCATGAAGCGAATCTATCACTTCCAGTCCGTACATCAGAGTCGTGCTGAATTTCTGCACCATGCGGCCTTCCAAGCGGAACCCTGACTCAACGGCTCCGGTCATTATTCTCATCAAGATACCCTTCGCTTCTGGCGTCTCGCCTTTCTGGCTCAGCTCACCCAGAAGATTGTTACAACTTGTCCAAACAACTTGGTCTGTAATCAGGAATAGATCCCAGTGTTTTTCGAATACATGCCGGAAGATTTGAAGTATGGCTCTTTCTTTGTCATGGTCTAAGATCACAGCTGGCTCGAACTCTGATCCTCGTCGCATACCGCTCAGAATCCCTGCTTTTAGGGCATAGGTAGTCAAGAAAACCGTCTTGTGTGCCGTTCGCTGTTGCTCATCCATTGAAATGAGCAATTCGTTGTTCATTTTCTGAGCTTCTTGAAACTTTCCCTGCTTGAATAGAAAAACGCTAAGGCTATAACGGTATTCGAGGGGCTAATTACCGAGTCATACCCCGAAACTATGAATCCTTACCGAATCATACCCCTAATTATTGAATCATACCCCTACACCAAAATTTGGGGTATGATTCGGTAAGGATTAATTGCTTGGGGTATGATTCGGTAATTTACCAAACTTGCCATAGTGGCCTATCTGAATGGCCTACTTGTAGAGATAGCTAGTAGGCTATTGGGAGTGAAGAGTGTGTGTGAGAGTCACAGACTGGGTGTAGACAGGCTGGGGGGGCCAAATTTAGCCCACTTTTAGCAGCAGCCCCCACGGGGGCCCTGCGACGGCCCTGCGACGGCCCTACGGGGGCCCTATTTAGGTCCAAGTAGGGGTGTCTGGCTGTCAAGCGCAGACACACCCGGGACCAGGCTTTTTTTGCGCTTGACAGCCAGACACCCCTATTTGGACCTAGATAGGGCCCCCGTGGGGGCTGCTGCTAACACCCGCTCGGCTTTCGTCTGATGTATTTAAGCTGCTAGGTCACCCATTGAATACGGTCGGAGATATTTCCTCTTTTCTATGGTCGGATAGCCCAGGTCGCGAATTTTCTCCTTTGCGGATTTTATTATGAATGGCAAATTACCGAATCATACCCCAAGTAATGGCAAATTACTGAATCATACCCCTAGGGGTATGATTCAGTAATTAGGGGTATGATTCGGTAAGGATTCATAGTTTCGGGGTATGAATTGGTAATTAGCCCGGTATTCGAGATTAAGTTCAGTATCTTCTGGTAAGTCACGGCTCAAGACGATAAGCTCATTTGCAGTCTCTTCCCCTTCTTTATACTCACCGAGGCGCTCGCAAGCGATGCGCTTCACTTGCAGTACGTCCGCGCGTAATTCCAGATATTCTTCATCGCTCATGGCTTCATTGTTTAATTTGGCAGAGTCTAATCTTTCCATAGCAAATTTCGACTCATTATATCCCTCTCGAAAGTGACTATCCGCAACTAGACATTGAATTTTTTCGACCCAGGCATCAATGGCTAGCCAATGGTAAGGGCCGCAAATGTCTTGCGCTATCGCGACAGCTTGTGTAGCTAGTTGTACGCTGTCAAACGTCATACCGGAAACCCTCAGAAATACAGCGCAGCGCACATTTAGAAGAGCTAGAGCTTCACTCTTCAGATTATTTTCTGTGGCGAAGTTGACTTGTAGCAATGCGTGCGATTGCAAGTATCGCAACGTTGCGGTATGCTTGCGCCAATCATCCAATCCCCAGTCCGGAAATTTAGACAATATGACTGCGACACTGTCGCTCAAATAAGACCTCTTGTCTTCGGGAGACAGTCGATTTGAGATCCTCTCGTGGATGATAGGGTGAACAGAGTACTCGCTGCCGTCGTGATACGAAATTTCCTCTATCAGAGACAAATGAAGAAGATGCTTTATCGTGTCACGGAAAGACTGGTCGTCAAGTTCTGCGAGTTCGGGCAGAGCGCGGATGAAAGATACTGGTATCTTCTGCCAATGGAAAAATCCGAAGTAATTGAGACAGCGAGCGGATAACTGGTGATCGCGTTCAAGGTCTTCGAACGATATTTCGTAGGTCACTAGTATGGATTGGCGACTTGTCCTGGAGTCCTCTGTCCCCACGTCCATCACAGATTGCGCCATTAGCGATATTCTGTTTCGTTTGTCGCGATAAGCAGCGATGTACTCATGCACTGGACGCTGCTGGTCAGTGACGTTGGCGGCAGCTTGAGCTAAAGCTAGCGGCAGGTTGCCGAGTAATACCAACAGTTCGTCCACCATAGCTGAGGAGCTTTGGCTGGCAAGATGGGGCGGGATTGATTTCGTGAACAGATCTCTGGCTTCGCTTGTGTCCATTGTTTCGACATGCAAGCCATCTTTGGCAGCAGCCACCGTACCACGGAATCGAGGGTCTCGTGTCGTGATGAGGACTCGACCTTCTTTAGGAACGTAGCTGTTAATCGCATTTCCCGCCCCAGTTTTCTCAACAAACAGATTGTAATCGTCGGCATTGTCCAGTACAAGAAGCCACGAACTTGGGTCCCTTTCCAGTCTAGCAGTGAGCCAGTGACGTTTCGTGCTAAGAGAGGACGATCTTGGCTCTTGCTCACATGGGTCTTTGAGGGCTCAAGCTGGTCCATTATTCGGGGGAAGTCATTGAGGAAATTGGCAACATTGTCAGCTCGGACCCAAAAGACCGATAGTTTTGATCGCATGGACTGAGCAAAATGTAGGGCGATTTGAGTCTTCCTTTATGTCTGTCAGGGCCCTTCACCGTATCCTAGCCATTTGACTCACCCAATACCCCCAGGACCCCAGAGTACGAACTTCTGTTGACCGGCAACACTTTTATCGAAAAATCGATGAAGCTCTGCCGTGTACGTCACTCGGTCGACAAAGTGAAGGCAATGACGATACGGCAGAAGCGACGGCTTATCTTCAACCTTTTTCTGCCCTGCAACTACACTTAGCAACATCGCCGCAGACGCTACGCTATTAGGCTACACTAACGATGTTGATCAGGCCATACCAACGATTTTGCACATCGTTGAACTTCGTTACCGTTTCCGATCTTGCTAAGGTAACGACTTGTCAAAGCATTCATCTTCTCTGTCTCTTTAAATTCATCCATTTGCAAATACTCCATGCCTTGGGCGACACTGAAACGGAAGTACCGCTGAGAGTTGGCTAGATCTTGACCGAGGGTCGATCTAGCAAATGCGTCGGCGGTGTCCTCGGAGTCGGTCATCATGGCGACGCAGCCTTTGAGGCATTTCGCAAGATTATTGGAAACTTCGTTGATAAGGGGAGCGCCGGTTCCAAGGCTGAGCACACACCCGATTGGCTTATCCTTCCACTCAGCCTCGAGTCCGAGTTGTTCGAGGGCTACGTTGACAGGATTGTTGCGGCGTAGTCCTCCATCGCACCAGATTTCTCCACCCGTCTTGAACTTGACGGCTCTGAAGAACAAGGGGGCTGCTGCCGTGGCGCTTGCCGCTTCCCATATCGTGCATTTGTAGTTCACCTGCGTTGGATTTTCGGATTCGTAATTCCGCAGAACGTCATGCGCGGATGTCTTTGACCGAGTCACGCAAACAATACTGTATTGGTCAGCCTTCTTCGAACCACGTAGTGACCATCAAGGTTCTCACGTTCTACAGACTGGCGCTTCCTCTTTGAAATCTTCCTGAACATTCACTTTTTGCTGCTCTAACACTGATTTGATAGCTGCTTGCAGAGTATCGGTGTCATAGAATGGCGTGTGGAGCATTCCTTTGGCAAGTCTTCCGACCTGACCACCCAGCTGCCGTTTCCCGAAGATACGCGAGCTCAGAGCTTCGTACTGTTGGATGCATTCGTCAACAGTCATGTGGAGCCTACCAAGCATGACGGCGATTAGACCCCCAGTCGATGTGCCCACAATGAGATCAAAGACCTCGCAAGGCTTGGGTTCATCAGCGAGATCGATACCCTCCTTCTTGGCCTCTACCCTCATGGCATGACAGATTCTTCTCAGTATGAGCAGTGCAGTGTAGCCTTTGACGCCGCCTCCATCAATAGATAGGATTCTCAGACTGTTTGCACCTGGGAGGGTCGCCATCTTTCGCACTCCTTTTGCAGGAGACTGGAACTTGCTAGTGCAGGAGCTATAACTATCCCTTTATGCCTGAAGTGGGGTTCTGAAAAGGCGGAAATTAGGCAACCACAAGCCTTACTCCTTAGTCTAGGGTCTGGCCCATTATTGGAGGCCATGAAAGCAGGCGAGTTTTCTGTTGGTCCGCGACGCGAGATGGCTTGTTCAGCTGCATAAACCTGCAGGCGCAAATGCAATGTCATCTCCGCGGTCATCGACGAATATAAGCCCAAAGGAAGACGAGGCTGACGCTGGGCTCTGTTGAGCTGGACCATGAGAGTGTGTTTCATCTTGACAATGACGCTATCAGGGGTATCTTCTCTGGTCTGCTTCCCCGCCTATTCGGCGTCATCAGATGGCGCTTTGCAGGCCAGGCTCATTCCTCTGTCTCTGAAGCTCCTTCGGGTACATGAACTGGGCCGTATAGGACAGCTGGCTGTGTTAAGTAGTAGCTTGAACACCCCACAGGGAAGGCACCATAATCAACGGTTGTAGGCATTACTGTCAGAATTCAGGTATGGTAGGAAGAGTGGTGTGTAGGTTGCATGAATTCGTCTATCTCAGGACTCCCCTGGGCCAGTATTTATACCCCTCACGAATTAGGTGGTTGTTCCAACAGGTGGCTGGGAGGAGGCCGGGAACCTTATTTCGACAATTACTACGCCAATAGATCCTGTGACAAACACACAAAGCACATGTGGTGTATGACATCTTGGGTCCTTCACGTAATTTCATGTGATTTGCTTTATACTAGCTTCTATTGGCTTCTGACACTTCTGTCGAACTTACCCTTATATTTGTTGTCATCTTGTAGGGGGGCGCCCCTAGCAAAAAGGGGTCGAGACGAAGGTATTCATGATAATAACGATAAATGAAGAACAACAAAATCGAAAGAAAAAAGGGTTCGAAACGACAAAAGGAACAACTTTCTAAACTACACAATTGTGCTCGCCTCCATCCTAATCGTATAGCATGTTGGGTCACACTTCCCACAGAAGCTTGAGGACAAACGACCTAGCCATCACGATCGTCCAGTATGGCCGTAGACCACAGGATCCGAGCAATCGTTACGAGAAGTCAAGATACCGTTGCTTCCCGACCCATCTCTCTCGTTCCCGTTCGCTGTAACACATTCGTAGTACGCACCTTTTCGTCGATCACCCCCAAACCCTCAGAACCGGACTCTTCACCCTGTCCACCCGCACAAAGTTGCGCATCCCACCGCGTTCGGCCACAAGGGTCTGCTCTCCGCTCTTCGTGGTCAGCAGCACCAACCCTTTTGGACCCAATTTCCCCGCCTCCCGAACAATTGCCTCCTTCGTCCCACTCGTCCACCACCAGACATGATTTGGCCATTCGGCCGGCGCATAAGCGAGTTGCACGTCGTAGTCATCGCCTGCGCGCAAAATTGCCAGTGAAGTTGCACATAGGGAAAACACTCCGTTGGACACGTAGATTGCGTCGTCTCCAGTTCTTGTTTCTTAGTAGCAAGACCACTGCTTTGACAATGGGAATGCGCTCCCATGCTCACGTCCCTTGTGACTCCCAATGATATCGGAAGTTCCTGCCAGGAAGAGATAGTCTGCTGACAAAACAGTCTCTGCCGTCATCCTTTGACATTGCATTAGTCTGCAATGCCTAGAAGATCTGGGGCCATACGGATTTTTATTCTTACTGCTGAAAGAGTCATGGAACAAGAGCCCGTCATGATTAGGAAACATTGGAATCTCATCAGAACAACAAGACGTCAGAAGCTTAGTAAAACATGATTACGAGTACGTATACTCAGTCCAGTGCTGTTGCTTCCAACATTAATCATATCTAAGACGTTCCCATAAACAAGAAAGGCAAAGACACAATGGCTCCCACAAACCCCTTATCCAACCCATCCACCTACAACAACATCGCCATCACTCCTAACACCACAGCCTCCTACATCTCCGCCGGCTCTCCCACTCTCCCCACTCTGCTCCTCCTCCACGGCTTTCCCTCATCCTCAAACTAATTCCACGACCTCATCCCCCTCTTATCCACCACCTACCACGTCCTTGCGCCCGACCTCCCCGGCTTCGGGTTAACAATCTTTCCCCCCAGAACATGACTTCACCTTCGACAATCTAGCTCTCGCAATCAGCGCATTCCTCACCGCCCTCGACATCGGCACCTACGCCCTGTATATCTTCGACTACGGTGCCCCAGTCGGCCTGCGCCTCGCTCTCAGCAATCCATCATCCATCAAAGCGATAATTTCTCAAAATGGCAACGCGTACGTCGAAGGACTCGGCCATCCATTCTGGGACCCGATCGAAGCGCTCTGGGCCGAGCCTTCGCCTCAGAACCACGAAATCATCCGCAACGCCGTCCTGACCCTCGAAGCCACAGTGTACCAATACACGTCCGGCGTCCCATCTGATGACTTGCCACTCGTCAACCCGGCCGCATGAACATACGACTACCTCAAGAACGTCCAGACCCCAGCCGATCAAGATCGCCAACTAGCTCTGTTTTATGACTACCGTAACAACGTAGCAATGTATCCTGCATTCCAAGCTTATTTCCGCGAATCACAGGTACCGCTGCTGGCCGTATGGGGCAAGAACGACCCTGCATTCGTGCCAGCGGGTGCGGAGGCTTTCAAGAGGGACTTGCCGAGGGCAGAGGTGAAATTTGTGGATACGGGACATTTTGCGCTCGAGACGAGGTTGGAGGATATTGCTGAGGACACATTGCAGTTTCTCAAGAGAATTGGATATTGACATGTCTGGAGACGCTTTCTGGCTTGTGTTGCGAGGGAAGCAAGCATGCTCAGCTGGCCACACGAAGGAAAACTCATTCCGAGTGGGCGAGATGCGCTGCTCGTACAAAGCAAAAGGGACTCATTTCAAGAGGAGAAGCAAGATCCATGTGCACAGTGAAGGAGTGAATGGGTGAGTGAGTGAGTGAGCGAGTGAATGATTGGATGGTATATTTGCTAGGAAATGGCCACGATGTTGAATATCGACGGAATATGAACTCAAACCCAACACCGCTACACCTTCACTCGCAAGATATTAATAAATGAGACTCACCAGAGCACAAAGGCCACGCGCAACGTGAGGCACCTTTAGCTTAAGACTCGATAGTAGACAGTCCCTCGAAGCCAGGTTTCACAACTAGGAAGGGCCTCAGCGGTGATGAAAGCATCACCCTCTGATGTCGTCAAAATCTTTCGAGAAGGCTCAGTTTCAGCACTCATCCCTTTTAGAGGGACGAAAGAAACTTCATCTCATATTGCATCAACAACCAGTCTGATTCTCGAAGTCATTCTCTGATGCCAATGTCTCAGTTACTGCGTGCCATTGATAACTGCCAAGTCACCCTTTCCGCGGACGATTCGGGCTAGATGTGCGGGCTTGAAACCCGTCTCCGACTGGACTCCGGCTTGGCGTGTTAATGCGTGCTCTCATTTTCCACGGGGCTATGGTGTACTGGCCGTCTTGCTAGGAAGCGATGTGAGTAGCGAAATGAACCGCCAACAACCCCTTTTTCGCTCAGCAGACCAAGGCTAGTACTACTTTGGACTAGTAAGATATTCTCTTTTCCCACCTACTTGTACTCTGCTGCCTGCACTTCCACCCACTCCTATATGGTCGTGTGCCACCGTCATCACGTCAGACAGTCAGATATCGGGTATCGTCTTGGCGAAGTCATGCGATTCGGTCCGCTTCAGAAGCGCGGTTTCACCAAACAGTGGCACGGTTGCGACCGAAGTGGGGGCTGAAGTTTCTGGTCGGCGAGTTGTCGGCGACCGGAAGCGAGGACTTTCGAGGTACGAAGTCACTGCTTCGAGCAACTACACGGTCGGGACCTGTGTGAAGCATTATCACTGAGACGACTGCTCCACTGCAATGATGGTATCAGCGAGAGGGGTCGACATCATTGAAGCGATAGGTATAGTGAAGCTGGAAAGATGAAACAGGCCGGCGCCTTTGCGGCCCGCTATTTTTCGGCTCGTCGCCCCCAAAACAACAACAGCCTTTTTCGTCTTTGCAATGTGATTGGTGCTGGGAATTCAGATGGAGGACAATGCAGTCGAGGCGTCCTTCATGCCATGGGGCCGAAAGCATGAAGGACTTGCTTGAGCCGCGAGAGAACTCTCCGTCCAAGACCCTCACTTTATTAGGCTTTCCGCAAAGGAGAGGTGGAAATCTTCCTACTTGGCCGCTCAGCTCACATCATGTTGTTTGCTATATGATGACAAGTGCCGTCGTTTCATCTACAGTCTTACACTTATGATCCGCACATGAATGACAATTGGGTGAATTCAAGGCACTACGCATTTGATCTGCAAGATCTGAAGCGAGGCATTTGATATATGAGCACCTCTCCATTTAGAATCTGTCGCTCCTGGATTCACAGCCCGACAGGCACTGGATTCGGCCCTCATTGCCAGCTCTCGGGACCATGAAGACCATTGTAGAATTCGCTCTGCTGGCTGCACTTTTATCCCCCTTTGTCAATGCCCAAGCGAGTGAGGAACAATGGTACGTATATATTGGAGCAAGTCCTGCTATTTCGTATCAATTTACCTGTAGAAACGTTGCCTTCTTTCCATTTGCGCCATTAATTAGCCTCTCAGTTCAGACGCATTGTGAAGAGAGGAGCGCTAATCCACGATATCGACAGTGCTGCACAGATTTGCTGCAAAAATGGGAATCAGGACCTATCGGCGTCGTGCTGGAGCCAGTGTTCCTCATACCAACAACAACTAGCAGAGATTGGGTGCCATATATTGCCCCCGACTCCGACTTCTTCAAGTGCTCCTCAGGTAGCGCCGACACTCACTACCTCTTGGGGTCCAGGTCAGACAGCCAATTTCATAGGGAGATTGATTCTTATCCCACCCGTGCTGACATTATACAACAGGCGAATTCTGCCAAGGCTATGGCCCTGGGGAAGGTGGCGATTCCTGTATAACTATACCCGCAGGCTGTTACGTTGTGCCTTCTGGCTACAATGTCGTACCGCAGCTGTATTGCACCGCGACGGCTACTCCCAGTAGCATCGCGGCCTCCAGCACCCCGTCGATTATGCAAATTACGTCCAGCAGCATAGTGTCTTCCCCCATCGTGCCTTCGTCAAGTGCGGTCCCACCGTCATCTACGCCAAGTGCGCAGGTCCTCCCATCAAGCAGTGCGACAACCATGGCATCGAGTTCTGCATCTTCTGCGCTATCGTCTGCTGGGGTACCACCAACAACGACTCCATTCTCCGCACTTTCATCCGCATTAGTGTCTCCTATCCTCACAGCAACGAGCTCGGTGACTCCAAGTTCATCAATAGCGAGCTCAAGCGCTGTGCAAAGCTCCGCTTTGCCGGGTATAGTAGGTGGTGTAGTAACGGGTGCTGCAAGTGCGAGTAGTGCAGCACAAGCATTCTCCCAAAATCCGACCACTGACACCGAAACTGCGTTAAAACAGGCAGTTTCTGCCGCTCAAGATGGTAAGCACCCCTGGATATGCCCTATGTAGTTTGTATAATTGTTTTTCCGAATGGCATATTGAACTTTTTACGGAATACTCGCTAATCAGACATGTCCAGCTGCCACAGCGGCAAAGGCCCTTGCAGATGCAGCCGCCTTCACAGCTCTTAGCGCTGAGTTGGCAACAGTCCTCAGTTCGTTGAGTGAGGCTGCAGCAACTCTCGCATCCGCAGAGGCCCTCGCTGACATCGCTGCGGCCGTCGCTCCTGAGCTCGCCGCCGCTGAAGCCGCTGCAGCTACCGCTCAAGCAATCGAAAACGCAGGCCCTGATAGTCCCGAGCCAACTGCCCAGCAACCATCGGCCAACCAGCCGTCCGGGACACAGGCGTCTCCAACAATCTCCGCGAGCTCGGCTGCTGGCTCTTCCATCGCTCCATCAAGTGCTCCAGTCGCGAGTAGCTCTTCCGCTGCAACATCGTCCGTCATGTCTGCAAGCGCCTCTTCTACCATTACGTCCTCGGCAACTGCGTCAGCCTCGACCTGTGATGCCTGTGTCGCTTGTGCTGATTCTACAATTGCTCCAATCCCAACGCCAGGTCCAGTCGATCCTTTTGCCCAGTACGCAGGCTCCATAACTGACAACAGCACCACCACCAAACCCAGGAAAAGATTTCATAGCGCCGACTTTGTCGAGATAGAGCCAAGAGCGAACTCCGCAACCAGGGACATCACAATATGCGGCCAAGATTTCTCCGCCCCATCCTACAACTCCTACAGCACAACAGGCAACGGCAACTCTTACAGTCCCTACTACAGCTACATGTTCCAACTTCCCCGATGTTCTACCTACAATTGGGCTCTGACCCAAGGACCCACGGCCCCAGACAGCGCAAGCTATGCAACCGAGCACATCTACGAGCTCCAACTCATCGCCATCTTCCTCCGATGGTTAGCAGCCAACAACGCAGGCCTGCAAGCCTACCTCGCCGTCAACAACAGGAACGTTTGCGCCAACTTCATCAACCAAATCCTCTTCGGCCAGGGCCAGCAATGGACCGTCACCACCTTTGGCGCCGGAGGCAGCATCAAAACCGCCGGCAGCCGACCCATCGACGAGCTCATGAGTCAAATGTCCGGCGGGACTCGCACCAGCGAACTCGTCTATCTAGAAAACCACCTGAACGGCCTCAAAGCTCAACTCTTCGGCGGCAATACCCCCTCCACCATGACCATGGCCGCCGCCCAACTGGCCCTCGTCGGCGAATCCTCCGCGCTGTACCTCTACCTCCAAGACCCCAACGTGTCCGCCATCTTCAAAGCCGTCTCCGACCGCGTCAAGACCTTCTACGCGAAACTGGACCGAGCCTGCGGACGCGGCGCCAGGGGCCCGTGTGCCGCGAACGTGCAGTGGGAAAGTAGCTATCAGACGTGGCAAGCGCAGTATCTGCAGCAGATCGACGCGAGCTGGCAAGGGTGGAAGAGCGCGCAGGTCGCGGCGGCAGTGACGCAGATCACGCCGAAGACGAGGGGCTCTGCTATGTGGCAGACACTTCTGAACGCGGTGAATGCGCAGACGAGTACGGGGCTGTTGAGTGCCGGGAGTTATACCTTTGCTGGTAGTCTGACGATTTGAGATGTTGGTATGTATGATTACTGTGTATGGAGAAGAAAACACTAATGAGGCTTCCAAGCCTGGAAATGATTGACTCTGAGTCTTTGATGCCGACCTATTTCTTCTAGTATTATATCGTTCTTCTAAACACCTGTGTGGACAAGTGCAGTTTATCCCTTTGCCATACTAGTAAACACCGCCCCTGACAGCACCATTCCCAGTAGACTTCGCCTTAGCTACGTAAGATCGATAACCAAATGGTCGTAGCATCGCTTTATCAGGCACTTCGTATAACAAATTTTCAGAGTATTGTTAAATCTGAAGTTTAGTATTTCTTTCGCGAACACCTTTCGCCGACTTGGAAACGCCTGCATCTAGATGATTCTTAGACCCTAGGTGGCTGGCTGAGATCTCGCGGTAGAGATACTCGGACGCATATTCCATCGATCTTGACAAGCTGAGGACATTTCGCGCCTCTCTTGAACTTTTCCGACTTCGTTTGTATGAATCAAGGTGTCTGTTCAATTTTGGCTACAATAGCTTGTCTGAAAGCTTGACTTCTTCGTCGCTTAACTGCCTCTTGTGGCGTCGTCCTGATTGAGTCTCGATCTCGCCTATGTCTCTGCGAGGACAAGTTGGAGACTTGGTAGCCCTGAATTCCAAACCCCTGAGGGGTTCCAAGAATAGCATCTCGCTGTGTGTGATTTTGAACCCGAAGCTAAGTATTGTCATGAGGGGATCGATCGATATGCTGTCACCTGAGACTCCCGCAAATATAATATAGAGAACAAAGACGCGCAACCGAATTTGTATTATGACCTCGATCGCTCCTCTCACCTCAAATCACACACAGCGCCCCAAGCCACAAAGGCAAGCAAATTGGCCCGCCAGAAGAAATCGAGAGCGGTTTTTCCAATCTTCGCACACAGATCCTGATATACAACTCTAGGATGTAGATCACTGCTCAAACACAAGCCTTGGATGTTTTGGAACACGCTTCTCCAAACAGGCTATCGATCGGCGGAACACTGCATGCTCCTCTCGTCCTACCATCAGATGAAGATGCACCGTTTAGGGACATGAATATCGATGAGAGCGAGCTTCCCCGAAGAAAACTGCTGGCATTAGGTAGTGCCGCCTGGTGGGCGTGAAGCGTTGACCACGCGATTGTATAGTGTTGCCGATTTTCTGATCCCTCGTGCGGATCTAGCGAGGCCATTTGGCGGTCAGCTTCTAGCTTCAGAAACGTGAGCATTTGCTTTTCATCATGTGTCATGTCCGCTTGAAGCGGCGGACCGTCGACTTTCACATCTCCTCGGTACCTTAGTCCCCTCATCGTCCACTTTGTTGAATGCCGAAAGTTTGATCTGCCAGCTGGACGACACTGTATTTGAACGCGAGATATAGTGTCGTTACTTCTCACGCTCGCCCTTAAGGCGGAATTGCGAACACGGAATATGGCACCTCCAAGGTACATTCTCCAGCCGGCAGGGAGCAAGAAAAGGAATACCAGATAGGCCTCGATTGACGTGCAAAAGTCCGGGCTTTAGACTATTGGGTCCAAGTGTTGTTGTATGCATCTTGGACTTAATCTTGTGTCTAGTCAGCAATAGAATGTTCCCACAAAGTCTACCGATTCTATTGCTTAATCTGACATGCAGAATGGTTTGCATGAAATTGCTGTCGGAGTACATATACACTTGCAAGCTACTACCTCTCCATCAACCCTGTTCACTTGAACCCCTATCTCAAGCACACATCTCCAGAATCTCCAGCACCTGCTCTTGCTTGTAGATCCTTGCCGGATTAGCCTGCGTGCAATTATCATCCAGAGCATTGACCGCCAGACCCTCGCTCCACGGCATACCCAACTCCCTCACAATCGCATCTATCAGGTCTCCCAAGTCTGCCTCTTCCTTCTTGAGTTCCCTTGCCTCAAAAACCTCTCTCTCAGCATCAATGTCCCACAAAATCTTCTCCATCGACTTCTGCCTTTCGACGTTAGCCTTCTGCTTAGCGTTCCATTTACACACAGCCGGTAGCAGGATACAACTCGTTGCCCCGTGTCCAACACCCCGAGGTCCGAGCTGGTGCCCAATTCCGTGACTGGCACCGGGGACGACGCCTTTGTGTAAAGGCATCATGGCGTCCGGGATGCCGAGTTGACAATCTTGTCGCGCTTTAGCATTTGACGGATCGGCTTTGCAGAGCAAGAGAGCAGGGATGAGACGTTGCAATCCCTTAACACAAGCCTCATCGAATCCAACGACACGCTTCAGATTGCAGAACGATTCGACACAGTGATCGATGGCGTGGACACCAGTCTGAATCCATACATTCAATGGAGTCGTCACAGCGAGGTTGGAGTCTAAAATAATGAGAGCAGGGCCGATAGTTGGGGAGGAGAACACTGAACTTCAGGCCGTCGCTGTCGCCGGGTACGCCGGCGTAGTCTGAGAATTCGCCACCGGAGAGCGTGCTGGGGATGGAGATGATAGGGCACTTGGGCTGGATGGAGTTCGAGGTTTTAGTATTGCTTGTCCATGAGGGATTTTGGAACTTTAGAACATGTCACGTACGGATGCGCTTTGGCTGTGCGGTTGGAGAGATGGGGGAGTGCCATTAGGTCGTCTTCGGTGCGGACGTCGTTGCTTAGGGCCTGCGTTTTCCCCATTTAGCTAACCCTGAATGTATCTAGGCTAAAACCATGGATGGTGTAAGACTTACGAGAGCTACCACCTTCGCGGCATCAATCAAGCTTCCCTCACCGAGGGTAATTATCAAATCGGCATGCTCTATCCTGGCATCCTCAATAACCTCCAGCACTTCGCTCATGAAGGTGTGCGGTTTGAAGCCAATCCTGACGCCTACTACTTTGTTGCCCAGAGCATGTTGCAGGTCTTCGAGATTGGAAGTGTTCTTCGCCACGGAGCTGGAGCAGACGATGTAGACTTTTGATTTCCTGCAGGTCGAGGCGACGTGCCTGCTGCAGGCTTCGGGGAAAGGTAAGCCGTAGCTCATGAGAGGCCGAGTTCCGCGAGACCCCTTTTCGTCAGTGAAGGCGCTGTGGAGGGTTTCCATTGGTGTCATTGTTGAAGTGGGTATGTTGACGTGGTACAATGAAAGAGCGCTGTTGCTTGGTGCTCAGAAATGCTTCTCGTATACTGAGATTGGGCATCTGATTAAGCTGAAGTAGAACTTCCTCGTTTCGAGTACGTCGATGTTGAATAGGTCTCCTTGATGTTAAATGACATTATGTCAAGGCGGTTGAACCGGGTTGTAAAGCCTAATTTTGGACCAATGGCAACTAACTTCATGCAATATTGGTACACTGTCATTCTCGGCCGGGGGTTTAGCATGCATGCATCCTTCCGGCTAATTGCCGATACCCTTTTGAGGGGGGCCTTAATAGGCGCCGACTCTTCTGAAACGAGAAGGATACTGAAGGTTGCCTGAGCGATTTTATGTCATGAACACCAGAGAAATGATTCGAGAAATCAAGTCAAAGCACTAGCTTATGTTTCGGTATCGTCAGCGAGGAGCTGGAATGAGATCCAGATAATGTTACTCGCTCGGGACCCTCGACTGAGCCCAGCGGTATGGTTCTCGAAGAGTAAGGAGTTTCAAAGTCCAGAATCGCAGTTCTGGCAAGGTTGAATAAAGACCTGCCGGAGGTCTTAAGACCAACAGGCTCTGTTTCCCTCGGTTTTGTAGCGACCACAAGGCAAGTTCGATTCATAAGCATCCTCAAATGCTACTGCAGCACCCTTTGATCGAGTGGCAAGGGTGCAAAAGGGCTAGGGGCCTCCAGCGTCTCAGTATGACATATCAACGGTGGGATACAGATCTTGTTCATTTCTCCAGGAATTTGCCGAGCCAAAAGATCGTCGCCATTGGGTCTTATCCGGAGGTTCGATGCAGACTTCGGAGAAGAAAACTAGGTCTACTTGCTTTGTAACGTGGCTCATAACTCATGCAATTCAGGTAGGAATCCGGATTATCGAAGCTGCGGAACCTTGCTGCTTTCAGATTTTGTAGAAGCAAAATGCATGATAAAAGCCTGTGCATGTGGTCAGTACAACGATCCCCATACGCGATGACCAGAATGCATACTTGCAGCCTCCATTTCCTCATCACTGACTAGCAGCGGTCCCGCATCCCTGCCCCTCACACCCATACGTTCGCTCAAAGGTCCAAAGACCGGAGAGTCTTTTTCCTCGTTCCAGACTTCGGTGAAAGGCTTTCGGTATTGCAGTTCAAGGTTGTAGTCTTCTGCTATACTAGTAGCCGAATTCAAGTCAGTACGAGACTATATCATCTTGGGAAGGTGTTTTCGTACGCTCGGAAGGCCTCCCAGGGAACTACGTATTCTGGGACCTCTTCCACCGCCTCCTCCAGGAAATAGCTATACTTCCATCCATACGGGGGTCGGAAGATACCATCGGTGGGCGTATTGCCAGGAAAACGGACTCGATATATGCTATTGCCCCACTCCGCGACAAGTGGTTGCTGATCACCCTCGGGTACATTGGACTCTGGATCAGATCCGGTGCGACTGTCTTTCTTATCAGCAGCGGCGTCAATTTTTTGGTCGTTTAACTTCTTATGCTCCGGCTCGAAATTCTCGCCATTGAATGGTGGATCCGATGGCGGCTCGGTGAGGACGTTGATAGCAGCTGCAATTTCCGTCCTGGAGTTCGATTCATCAGACCGCTCGACCTTCTTCGCAGTTGGTTCACCGTCCACCTCATCAACGGCTTTACGTTTCCATGATGGAGCTTGTGTTTCTTGACTAGCACTTGCTGGAACTCGAGACGCCGTTGAGCTGAGTGCAGCGTTGCTTTTGCCATCCACCGTGCCTCTGGGCTTCCCATTCAAATTGCTAGCAGCAGCTTTAGCTTGACGCTCGTAAAAGGTCTCTACCCCTAAGCGTATGGCATCCGAGTTTGGTGCGACTCCGAGGAATCTTCCCCCCTTTTTAAGGCTACCAGCCACATTTGCCAACATTCCTTTGGCTTTTGCTTCGTTTTCAAAGGCGTAATGCATGCAGAACATCATTGAAACGACGTCGAAGCCGCCACCAGGACCCCAGCGAGAGCCAGGCCCAAATCCAACTTCGCGTATAATTGGTATGTCTCCCAGAGAGTAGGTAAAGGCATCTTCTGCAAAGAATTCGGCATCGAATGTCCTTTGTGGTCTCCCTCCTTGGTAGCCTCCTCGACCTCCTCTGCCGCCTCTGCTGGCCCTGCCTCCACCTGATCGCATTTGTAAAAACCGCTCTTTTGCCTGATCAATCGACACTTCTGCCGGATCAACCCCCACATAGAGCTCGACTGGTTGCGGCGCTTGTTGCCATTTGCCAAGATCACCACCTTTGCCACAACCAATATCCAATACTCGTAACGGCAAAGGTTCTCTCCCAGACTCACACGGCGAGAATTTGTGTATGATAGTGCTCTTGATCCAGTTATTGAAGCTTCGTAGTCCCTTGATTCGGCTGTCCGTCTTCCGCCATTCCCTCCCCCGCTGAGGTACGGCATTGTAATGCTGCCTCACGACTTCTTCGACTCCCCTAGTAGCAGCCGCGTGCCTGTCTTCTTCTGCTCGTTGCTGCTGTCTCTGTAGAACGGCTTCTGAGTCTGCTTTTGAAATACGAGCAGCTCCTCCAGGACGCTTGCGAGGGCGTGAAGCTTCGGGCGGGTGGTCCTCTTCTCTAGGACGTTTCGTACCTTGTGAAGACATGTCTAGCACAGGCCGATTGCAGTGTGAGAGGATTGAGGGTAGCAAAGGCAAGAGGGTCCAGGGTAATGTGAGAAATTCGGTAGTACCAATTGAGATTTGGTCGAGACCATAGATTGCCAACAGAGACAGAGCGTGAATCTTTACCAAAGTTCTCTCCTCTCAATTTGATTATAGCATAGGAGAATTGCTTTGGGTGATCGCGAATTCCGAATAGTGAAGGCGCGCTAAAAAGGCAGCTGCTTCCGCGCGTCTAAGCTCCATCATTTTGCTCACCAGCATCATCAACATGACCATTACATCTGGACATCCACTTCATACTTTCCTCTATCGAAACGCCTTAGGTCCTCCGGCAGATTTCGAGCACCATTTCCAATCCGACATACTCCATCACAAGCAGCCACCATGGGTTCCGACCCTCAATACGCCAAATATCCCAACCTCTCCCTCGCCCAAGACATCTTCACCCTCACCAACCCCTCGTCGACACAATCATTACGGCAGACCTCACTCCAAAAGCTTCAAAATGCTATCTCCGAGCACAAAATGGCGCCCCTATACCGGTACCTCGCACATCCAGCGGACGGTATCCTGAACGCCTCAGGCGAAGGAACTGCACGAAAGACCGCCGTACCTGCTTCGCGGAAACCAAATGGAGCCGCAAGTATGGTGGCACGGCGAAGGAGCAGCGGAACTTTCAACTTCCCGTGGGATGATGCGCTCTACGAGAAGCTCAAGGCCGAGAACGAGGAGGAGCTAGAAACTTTCCAGAAAGAGGAGGAAGATGCTGAGGAGAAAGCGGGTGAAACAGAGGTCCAAGCGGCAAAGGGAAAGAGAGCGGAGTTCTGGGCCAGAGTGGGTGATAAGGTGAGTTCTTGAGGTGCTCGGCTGTGCTTCTAACCCAGATGCTGACAATACTTGTCTTCAAAGGAAAAAGCCCTCGCCTCATACGAAGCCGTCTTCGAGAAAACTGGCATCCTCGGCACAAAAATCGACCTCGTCCTTGCCATTATCCGCATTGGCATCTTTTTCGGTGACAGACTAGGGGTAAAGAAGAACGTTGACAGAGCGAAAAGCCTTGTCGAAAGCGGCGGCGACTGGGATCGTCGAAATCGGCTGAAGGCATATCAAGGCTTACACTTACTCACCACACGCTCATATACCCTTGCCGCCCCTCTGCTTCTCGACTCCCTGTCCACCTTTACAAGCTACGAACTCTGCTCCTACTCCTCACTGGTCGTCTACTCCGTCCTCGCAGGCTCGGTATCGCTAAAGCGCGTGGACTTCAAGACCAAGGTCGTTGATGCTCCAGAAATCCGTGCTATCCTCGGCGATGGCGAAGAGAAACTCTCGGCTCTCTCTGGCGCAGCAGCAGCTGGCCCCGGCGCAGGCGATGAAGAAATGAAAGACGCATCATCCGCTACACCGAAGCAAGCCTCCACCGCCGTCAATCTGACAGCTCTAGGTTCATCGACAGCGCCACAAGAAGCCGAAGCGCCGGTCGATTTCACGCCGTTAGCAGGTCTGAAGCGAAGTCTATACGATGGCAACTACCAGTCCTTCTTTCTCGCCCTCGCAGCCGTCGAAGAGAACTTCCTCAGTCAAGATCGCTATCTATACGAGCACAAGGGATGGTTCGTACGAGAGATGCGGCTGCGAGGATACCAGCAGCTACTGCAGAGCTATAGAGTCGTAGGCCTAGGCAGTATGGCTCATGACTTTGGTGTTTCCGTTGATTTCCTCGATCGGTATGCTAGCCTCTCCTTCCCTATGATCCAACCCGCCCCTTCTTCTCCTTTCGTGACTTGGAGCTAATCCCATCGTTCACAGAGACCTAGCAAAGTTCATCGCGGCAGACCGCATACCCTGCACCATCGACCGCGTCAACAAGATCATAGAGACCAACAGGCCAGACGACAAGAACAAGCAATACGCGGACGTGGTCAAGCAGGGAGACGGGCTGATTACGAAGCTGCAGAAATACGGACAGGCCGTGAGATTGAGGGGAAGCGAGAGGGGATGATGAGCAGGAGGCAGCCAGCAAGGGAGGAGATGATAGAAAGGAGATGTGGTTGTATTTGTAGCATAGACAGCGCTTCTGCTGGCTTGATCGACAACAGAATGAAGCCATCAAGAGGATCCACCAGTCGATGAGATTTCAAAATGAATTGTGATTTGAAACAATATCTTCAACGACAGAGCCGCATTTCCCAACCCCATCATCCATCTACCCCATCTACCCAATCCCACACACCCAGCCCCCACCACCTCCCCACCTCTCCCCACCCCCACCCCCTCACCCCCGAAACTCCTCCATAAACCCCTCATGGAACCTTCGGATCCTGCCCACC